GGAAGAACAGGAGGAATGAGGGCGGGTGTTCCCAGCACGGTGCCTGGGCATCAGCCCGCCTCCTCCGGCCCGGCAGGTGGGCATCGTCGGCCGGACGGGAGCCGGGAAGTCCTCGCTGGCGGGGGGCCTGTTGCGGTTCCTGGAGGCGGCAGAGGGTGGGGTGTGGATCGACGGGGTCCCCATCGCCCACGTGGGGCTGCACACTCTGCGGTCACGGATCACCATCATCCCCCAGGTGAGGCGGGGGAGGGGGAGGGGCGATGGCGGGGGCGGGGGCGCGGCGGCCCCAGCTGAGTGCCGCCCTCCCGGCCAGGACCCCATCCTGCTCCCCGGGTCCCTGCGAATGAACCTGGACATGCTGCGGGAGCACACGGATGAGGCCATCTGGGCAGCGCTGGACACGGTGCAGCTCCGGGCCCTGGTGGCCAGCCTGCCCGGCCAGCTCCTCTACGAGTGCGCGGACCAGGGCAGCGACCTGAGGTAGGAGCCTGGCGCCCCCCGGCCACCCCCGGCCTCTGCCGGACGCGCCACTCCATGCCATCCCCTGCTCCTGAGATGTGCCACTCGCTGTAGCGACGCCGGCCCCATGTCCACGGGGGCGCCTGGCCACACGGGGTGCGCCCTCACAAAATCGGCATTTTCTTTCTTTTTTCTTTTGCTTTTCGGGTCACACCCGGCGATGCTCAGGGGTTCCTCCTGACTCTGCACTCAGAAATCGCTCCTGGCGGTGCTTGGGGGACCCTATGGGATGCTGGGAATCGAACCCAGGTCTGCTGCGTGCAAGGCAAACGCCCTACCCACTGTGCTATTGCTCCAGCCCTGGCATTTTCCTCTTAGGAGAACAAGGGCTTGGGCCCGGAGCCCCAGTACCGCGGGCAGGGCACTTGCCTGGCAGCCGGCTGACCCGAGTTCAATCCCTGGCGCCTCCTGCTACGGTCCCCTGAGCCTGCCAGGAGTAAGCCCTGAGCACAGAGCCAGGAGTGAGCCCTGAGCACAGCGGGGGATTTGTCCCCAAAGAAACCGAAAACCCAAACCGGTCAGAACCAGTCTCTCAGGTGGGGACTGTGCGTCCTCACGGTGGTGCCCACCCACCGGCTTGCCAGGCTCCTGCTACCTTCATGCCTACACATCCCTCTGTGAGGGTGGCACCCCTTTTGGTTACGGTGCTCAGGGAAACGGCGTACAGGACCGGGGACCCCAGGCAGCTGGGCTGGCTGGACATTGCTCAGTGGCGGGAGACCCCAGGTGAGCACTTCGGCCATAAGTTCATGCCTCATGAACTCTGCGGTGCAGTAAGGTTGGAGCCTGCTGGTCACCTGTTCTGGTCATCACTTCTGGTCCGAGGACGACTCGTCTGCAGGACAGGGCTGGCCCGCAGGTGGCCAGATCACAGTTCTGACCCAAGACCGGTTTCCCCAGGTTCTTCTGTTTTGTTTTTGTTTTTTTTTTTGGGACACAGCTGGGATTGCTCAGGGCTGACTCCCGGCAACTCGGAGAACCCTGCCTGGGGATTGAACCCGGGTCAGCGCTGTGCTAGGCCAGTGCCATCCCTGCTGTCCTGCGGCTTGGGCCTCTCTCAGGCTGCTGAGATGACCCTTCTGAAGCTGGGCTGCCTCCGGCATGGGTTGGGACCAGAGACTCGGAATAGTCTCAAAATACATCTTTTTGATTTCCTTTGGGGCCACACCTGGAGGTGCTTAGGGATCCCTCCAGACAGTGCTCGGGGATCCATCTGGGGTTCTGGGGATCTAACCTGGGTCGGCCATGTGCTCGGCGAGTGTCCTACCCACAGTACCATCTCTCGGGTCTCCAAAGAGACTAGAAATAATCTTTCAGAATTTGGGTAAACTGAGGCCTGGGGGGCTCGGATGTCTTGGAATTCCTATGGGGGGTCTGCCTGTTGGGGGCTGTCCTGGCGCACACCTCCACCTGCCGTAGGGACCCGCTGGTGGGCCGGCCTCGCCCGCCCTGACGGTGCCCCTTGTCCCCAGCATGGGCCAGAAGCAGCTCGTGTGCCTGGCCCGCGCCCTCCTGCGGAACACCCAGATCCTCATCCTGGACGAGGCCATGGCCCACGTGGACCTGGGCACCGAGAGCCAGATTCAGGCAGCCCTCGGGGGCTGGTTTGCCCAGTGCACGGTGCTGGTCATCGCCCACCGCCTCCGCTCCGTCATGGACTGCAGCAGGTAAGCGCCCCCCCCCGCCCACGGCAGGGATCAAAGGTGGGAGGGCAAGCCTGGAGGGTGTGAGCAGGGCGGCCAGGCAGTTGGGCAAGATGAGCCAGGCTGCCGCCGGGAGGGGGCTGGCGCCGAGCAGGACGCTCCGGAAACTGGACTCTGGACGGGCTGGGCCGCGTCCCCACACTTGTGTCCCCGTGTCCCCTGCAGGGTGCTGGTCATGGACAACGGCCGGGTGGCCGAGAGTGGCAGCCCAGCCCAGCTGCTGGCGCAGCGTGGCCTGTTTTACGAGCTGGCCCAGGAGTCTGGCCTGGTCTGACGCTCCCCGCGTGGTGCAGAGAGAAAGTGTGTCCTGGACGTCCGGAGGGCAGGGGGTCCCCACTGCCCTCTCTGACCATGGGGGGGGGGGGGAGAGCATCCCTGGCCTGGGGCTGAGCCCTGGACCCCGGGGGGCCCTCCGGAGAGGCCACCCTGCAGACCAGAAGAGCCGGCGGGGCGGTGGCGAGTGGACTTGACACAAGGCGGCCTGTCCCTGGGAGTCGTCGGCCCACTGACAGGCGGTCTGAGAGAACCAGAGACCACTGTGGCCCCCGCCCGCCCCTGGCCCATGTGTGTGAGGAAATAAAACTTCCTGCCCTCACGGAGAGGAGAGGGGGAGCGTTACTTCACGGGGACGGTCAGGCCCACTGGGCTGCACCCCAGCTCCCTCCGTGGCCTGGCTCTCAGCAGCAGGGAACTTGCTAAGCCGGGACCAGCCTTGTCTGGGCAAGGGGCTTTGTCCCAGCACGCAGTCCTGACACGGGCGGAAACGCGCCCATCTTCAGCTCGGGGCTGGGGGACCCCGGGCCCAGGGCCCCTCGGGGGTGCGGCTGCACTGCAGCGGCTCTGGCTGGGGGGCGGGCCCTTCGCCTCCGGGGCTGAGGGAGCCGCGGCCAGGCCCCCTTCTCCGTGCCGAAAGCTGAGAGTTCTCCCACCAGGAGCCACATCCGGGAAGCTGACGGACGAGCACCTCACAAGGAGGGCCTGCCGATCGGCTGGGATTTCTCTTCCAGGGGGCGTGTGCGTGAGTGTGTGTGCACGTGGGTGCCTATGTGTGCCGTGCGTGCGTGTGTGTGTCTGCACGTGCGTCTGTACATGTGCGCACACGTGCATGTCGGCGCATGTGTCCACACACGTGTGCATACTTGCACGTCTGCATGTTTGTACACACGCACACACGTCTACACGTGCATGTCTGTACACGTACGTGTGCACGTCTGAGCATGTGCGTGTGAGAGCACGTACGTGTGTGCACGTGTGTGCTCACGTGTGCTTCTGAGGCTGGGTCACGCGTCCCTGCATCTGTTGAGTTCCTGCACAGCTCAGGGGCAGCAGGGGACCGAGGTGGGCGGGGATCTCGGCTAGGTCTGCCTGGCGCCAATCCTCCCCGGCCTCAACAGACCCTTCACTCCCAGGCACCCCGTTCCCGACCACCCCTCCCGGGACCGGGGCAAAGAGGAGGGGAGCCCTTCAGACTCGACTCGAGGGGATGGCGAGAACCCTGGCTAAGGCCCCAGAACCGAGACAAGGGTCCTTTAGAAAGAAATCAAACTTTTTTTTCCTTTTTACTGCAAAGTATCTGCAAATATTTGCGTTTCCAGTGTAAGTCATTACAAAAAGATCCCCAAGAAAAACTTGGTTTATCTCATGTGAAAGAATGGTATAACTTACAAAAAAATAAATATATATTTTTTCCACCCAAAAGAAAGACACTTCTCGGAGGCTGAAGCCAGCAACGTAATTCAAGCAGGTGGGAGCCTGGGGGTGGGGGTGGGGGTTTCTCACACTGCTTTTTCCCGGGACCCACAGAGCTGGCCTGTGGGGGCTCCCCCTTTTCTTCCTGCAGGACAGCAAGAGTGGGTCCCTCGCAGCCAGTCTGCTCACAGCGCACACCCCTTCCTCCTGGGGAGAGTCCTGAGACTTTTCCTCTCTTGGGGAGGGACTCAAAAAACAAAACGAAAACAAAAAACCCGCAAAAGCAAAACAAAACCAAAAAAAAGAAAGAAAGAAAGAAAGAAAGAAAGAAAGAAAGAAAGAAAAGCCATCACTGATGGTCACGCGAGCTCCTTGGCAAAGACTTGGAAACCAGACATCCAGGCTTCTGGCTGCCGCCTGGACAGCAGTGACCCAGATGCTAAGCGGGCCGGAGGAGGGGGCGAAATTTAAAAACAAGACCCAACGTGGGTTCTTTTTGGTACCGACCGGTCACAGGAAGCGCAAGTGGGCACTGAGGGAGGAAGGGCAGGAGGAACCCAGGCGGACTGGGTGAGAGAGCCCCCGGTGACCATCACCCCCGAGTGGGTCTGGGAAGCGAGTTCCCCTCCCCCCCCGGCTCCCCGGGCACCCCAGGGATGGACGAGGTGCCCAGACCGACAGGGGTCAGAGGAGTGACCCTGCCCGGCTGTGGCGCTGGGGGTCCCTGTCCTGCCAAGGTCCCTCACCCAGACACGGCAGCAGCCCCCAGGAAAGAGCTTTGGTGGGGGAGTCCTTCTCGGACCCTCCTGGGGGTGGGGGGAGGGGGGGGTGGAGGGGTGGGCCGAGAAGCTTCTCGAAGGCTTGTGATCCACGGACGTGGTGGCTGGATTTGGTCACGAGCAGATTCCCCGTGGCCGGTCTGTCCCCTGAGCACCGAGAGTGACGCGCGCAGACGGGGAGGAGGCGGGCTGGTGTGTGTGTATGGGGCGGGGGGTGTGCGAGGGCCCCCAGCCCCGGAGTCTCGTCTCGCTCCGCTGGCTCCGTCGTGCAGGGCCGTCGGGGGGCGCCCGTGTGCATCTGGGTTCTGGGCCTTTTGGTTTCAGTGCTGGAGGCCGGACAGGCTGCTCACACCAGGCCCGCGTCCCTGGCCATGCTGAAGAACTGCCCGCGCTGCCTCAGGAGCTCTGCGGGGGTGTCGCACTCCACGATCTCCCCCCGGTCCAGGACGATCACCCTGCGGGCAGGCGCAGACGCAGGGTCAGGGCTCCCACCCGCCCGCCCCGGCCGCCAGCCCCGCTCCAGCTCCCTTTCCGGTCCCACTCCCCAGCCTCCCGGCTGGCATGGCCACGCCCGGGACCTGCGGTCACTGCCACTTTGGCCCTCGACTCCGGAAATCTAATGGAAACGCCTTGAGCATTTGAGGGAGGAGAACCAGCTCCAGGGGCCCACTGGACCCAACCCGGCTAGCGCCGAAGTGGGCCGAACACAGAGCACAGCTCACAGAAGCGTCCGCAGACGAGAGGCAGGAGACGCGACCTGCCGGGCCTGGACCCCGCTCGCCAGGATCAGTGACAAGTGCATGCCAAGTCCCTCGCAGACACGAAAGGTTCCCGGGACCCCTGAACCGCTGCCGCTCAAGCAAGTGGGAGGGTCTGGCCCTTTGGCTCTGGTCGGGTTCTGACGTGATTTATGACTGACTATTCGTCTTCTCGTGTCTTGGCGGCCACACCCGACGACGCTCAGGGGTTCCTGCTGGCGCGACACTCAGGGACCACTCCTGACGGGGCTTGGGGGACCATATGGGATGCGGGGGTTGAACCCAGGTCGGCCGTGTGCCAGGCAAACTCCCTCCCCTTTGTACTGTCGCTCCAGCTCCTGATCGTCCCTGCCTAGCTCGGAGAAGGGGCCACCGGCGAGCCTGCCTCGCGCTTCCCGCCTCTGCTCTGGGCTTCCCCGCTGCCTCCTGGCATTCGCCTGTCAAGTCCGGTGAGCGGTTCCCCACGTCCCAGAATCTCCTGCTGGGATCCCAGGGTCTGGAGCAAGGCTGGAGAGGCAAGAGGCCCTGTCCACACACACACAGACACACACACACACACATGCCTGTGTACACACGCACTCATACACACATGCTCACACACGTTTATACAGACACACACAATGTGCACACATGCCCCTGCAAATATACACACGTGCACACACCCATACACACATGCATGTGCACACAGGCCCCTCCACACATGCACACACATACAGACATACAAGCACACATAATCACACACAGTCCAGACACACATGCACACGCACACCCATGCATACCCATGCACACACACACATGCCTGTGTACACACACACTCATACACACATGCTCACACACATTTATACAGACACACACAATGTGCGTACATGCCCCTGCACATATACACACGTGCACACACCCATACACACATGCATGTGCACACAGGCCCCTCCACACATGCACACACATACAGACATACATGCACACACAATCACACACACATGTCCAGACACACATGCACATGCACACCCATGCATACCCATGCCCATGCACACACACACATGCCTGTGCCTCCCCACATGTGCACACACGCGTGGTCCCAGGGAGGGCACAGTACGTGTCGGAGACCGGTGGAACGGCCCAGGACCAAGACGCCCCCGGCGGGGCCGCGGCCAGGCAGCGGGGAGAGCAGGGAGCTGGGGGCGTCACCTCGTGTAGTCCAGAATGGTGTTGAGCCGGTGGGCGATGGTGAGGACGGTGCAGTCGTCGAACTGCGTCCGGATGGTGGACTGGATGAGGTCGTCGGTCTCCAGGTCCACGGCGGCCGTGGCCTCGTCCAGCACCAGGATCTTCGTCTTCCGCAGCAAGGCCCGGGCCAGGCACACGAGCTGGCGCTGCCCAACGCTGCGGGGAGAGGGCGGGTCAGCCCCGGCGGGGGGGTGGGCACGCGGGACCTCACGTCCCCCTCCTGCGGACGCCCCGGCACGTGTGTCCCCCCCGCCCGGCTCGAGGCCCAGCACAGAGCTCAGCGGGGGCGTTCAGAAGCCCCCGCTGCCGGGCCGAGCCACAGGATGGCGACAGGGGACTGGCCTTGCAGGCGGCATCCCGGCACCCCACAGGGTCCCCCCCGTGCCCGCCAGGAGTGTCCCCTGAGTGCGGAGCCGGAGTCGGCCCTGAGCATTGCCGGGTTTGAAAACAAAGCCTCCTTATACCAGTCCCGAGGGCTGGCGCTAAGCGCTGCAGGTTTGATCCCTGGCACCGCCAGGAGTGGCCCTAGAGCCGAAACAACTCCCCGCCCCTCCCCCCACCACACATCCCCCCATCCAACCTGGCGGAGGGGTGCTGCGGCTGCAAACAGCCTTCAGCACGCCTCTGCCATGCGAGCACGCGTGTGGCAGAGACCCAGGGCTGGCTGGGGGTGAGGGTCAGGGCAGAGGGAGGGGACCCTGGCTGACGCAGCTCGATCAGCCCCGATCCCCGGAGGGCAGGAGTCGGGGGGGGGGGGGGGCACACGCCCAAAGCCCCACCCCCGGCCCCAACACGGTCCGCGGAGACGCCGCCAATCGCGCAGCTGCCGGACTTCGGGGGAAACGCTCTGAACGGCTGGCGCGCACGGGCCGGGCATGCTGGGGCGGGGACCAGCCTGATCTCGGGGGGTCCCAGCCCACCTGAGGTTCTCCCCGCCTTCCGCGCACTCGTGGTTCAGCTTGTCAGGAAGGGCCGACACGAAGCCCTTCAGGTGAGCCAGCTCCAGCGAGCTCCACACCTCCTCGTCCGAGTACTGGCCGAACGGGTCGAGGTTCATGCGCAGGGAGCCGGAGAACAAGACGGGGTCCTGCGGAGGCATTGGGGCGCGTGACGGGCAAGCTCGGGGCGACCAGGCGCGAGGGCCCCGGGGTGCCGACCAGCCTTGGGATCTACGTTTCTGGTTTTGAGGGTCTATTTTAATTTTTGCTTTTCCGGGTCACTCCCGGCTCAGCACTCAGGAATCACTTTGGCAGGGCTCGAGGGCCACGTGGGACGCCAGGGGTCGAACCCGGGTCAGCCAGGTGCAAGGTCAATGCCCTCCCCGCTGTGCTGCGTCTCTGGCCCCTGGTTGTGAGTTTTGGGGCCACACCCGGAGGGGCTCAGGGCTGACTCCTGGGGGATGCTCAGGCCACATGGGATGCCCGGGGGAGAACCCAGGGTGGCCGTGTACAGGCCCACGCCTGCAGCTCTGGTCCCCAGAAAACATTTCGGGAGAGGCTGATGACAGACAGATGGACGGACGGACGGACAGACAGAACAGACGGACAGCCAGCCAGCCAGATGGACAGACAGACAGAGCTGGGAGAGCCTGGGGAAGGTGGGATGGGACCCTGGGTTTTGTTCCCGGCTCTTCCCTCCCAGTCTTCAACAGGCAGAGAGGTGGGGGAACATTCCAGAAAGGAGACTCGGGGCTGCAGTGGGGTGGGCACTTGTCTTGACCTGGCTAGCCCGAGTTCCATCCCTGGCACCCCACAGGGTCCCTGCCAGGAGTGATCCCTGAGCACTGCTGGTTGTGGCCCCCAAACAAAAACAAAAACGAAAAAGAAAAGAAGGGGGTGCAGCCTAGGGTGGTCCGACAGCAGAGGCCCCTGCATCCGCCCCGTTGCCGGCCTCTGGAAGGGACCTGGGATGGATTTTAGGGATGGCAGCACCCGGGGCCGGGAGGCAGCTCGCAGGGCCCAGCACGTGCCTGGCATGCGTGAGGCCTCGAGCCTGACTCTGCTGGGAGGCCCCTGAGCACGGCTGGACGGGCGGCAGGGTCAGGGCTGACCAGCGGCAGCAGGAAACAGAGGGCTCGGGGCTCCCGGGGAGTGGGGGCGGGGCTGGCAGTGGTGCCGCCCTGGCCCTCACCTGCGGGATGATGGTGACCTTGAAGCGCAGGTCGTGGAGGCCGATCTTGGCGATGTTGACACCATCGATGACGATCTCCCCTTGGGCCGACTCGTTGATGCGGAACAAGCCCAGGGTCAAGGAGGACTTCCCGGCGCCCGTGCGTCCCACGATGCCCACCTGCAGGTGGCACGGGCCAGGGGTGAGGCTGGGGTCCTCCCTTGGCGGGGTGAGGGTGGGTTGCTCCCTCCCTGAGCCGCGGAGTGGGGGTGGGGTGCTCCTCCCCAGCTCCCGTGGGACCCCCCAGGAGGCGAGTCGGCAATGCGGAGGCCTCCCAAGACGCGGGCACCATCAGGGACTTCTGGGGGGCCGTGCTGATCGCTGGTGCTCCCCCCCGCCCCGCCGGGCCAGGCCGTTCTCTTTGGCTTGGCGGTGCTGGGGTCTGTCCCTGGGGGTTCGCGCACACACGCGGGCAGGGAGCCACACACCAGGGGCTACGGCTGTGAGACCCTGGGAAGCCGACCTCACGGCTCCTCTCCAGAGACTGTCCCAGCCCCGGACTCTCGGAGACGCTGCCCCACACTCCACCGCGGGGCTGGCGGCCGGGACTCAGCCAGGCTCTGTCTGAGGTCATCCCCGCCAGGGCGAGTTCCCAGGAAGAGCTCGGACCCGGGCCACATGCCCCGTCCCAGCCCTTTCCCACGTCCCTCCTCCCAGGTCGGTGGCACGGGACTGCCGTTGGGAACGTCTGCAGGGACGGGGCTGGGGGGCTGGGGTGGGGGGGGTGGCAGCCCAGGGCTGCTGATCTCGCCAGAAAGAGCGGAGAACGGGGCTTATGGGAAACGGGCCCCGCGTCTCAGCTCTGGCGGCTGAAATTCAGGGCTCGGTTCAAGACCCACGAGGCTCCCCGTCTGCCAGGCTGCCCGTGCTCTCGGGGCTGCTTCCGGTCCGTGAGCCTCCCCGTCAAGGCCGGGCGGGCGGGCCGGGGCGCACCCACCTTCTCCCCACCCTCGATGGTGACGTTGATGTTCTTGAGAACCAGGTCCAGGTCGTCCCGGTACCTCAGGCCGAAGTTCCGGAACTCCACGCGGCCGGTCTGGGGCCAGGTGCTGGGCGGGGCCGTCTCCTCGATGCGCCACGGAGCCTGGGGTCACAGGGGTCCGGCGGGCAGCCGTGAGGACCCCCTCACAGCAGCCTCACACGCACCCCACCTCCCACACTCACTGGGGACACCCACTGGAATGCCACCCCCGCCCCGTCCAGCCTCTGCACCCGAAGCTCCCCCACCTCCTGCCGTTCCCGGGCAGTGCGGACCCCACCCTAGCCCGTGCCCCCTTCCCTGACCTAACGACCTCCTGCATTTCCACCTGCATCTTATGCTCCAGCGCCAGGACCGAACTCAGGGCCTCACCCGCAGCAGGTGCCTGACCACTGGGCCACACAGCCTCATCTCTACTTTGTGCAAATGCTTTCCCGGCAACGGTGCCTCTGACCCCGTGTCCAGAGGATGGAGCTGGGGCGGTGGGTTTGCTCCCGGGCTGGATCTCCGCACGAGCCCTGTCTCCCAATACTGCAGCATGGGCGTGGCCTGACTGCCTTGGGGGGTGTTGGGATGGGCCCCAGGCCAGCCGCAAGTACGCATCACCTCGCTGATGCCTCATCCCGATCCCCTGCGCAGACCCCCACCCACACCCAGCCACCGTGTGCCAAAGTTTCCCCCCCTCAAGAGACAGCGAGCTTCATTTTCCACGACGGAAATTCCCCCTATTCAAAATGAAACAAAACAAGGGCTGGAGCGATAGGACAGTCAAGAGGGCATTTGCCTGGCACACAGCTGACCCGGGTTCGACCCCCAGCACCCCATATGGGTCCGAGCACTGCCAGCAGCGATTCCTGAGTGCAGAGCCAGGAGTCAGCCCTGAGCACTGCCAGGCGTGACACCACAAAAACAAACCAAACCAAGATAAAACAGGAACAACAAAAACACGGAAACTGCAAGAAGATTCTCGGAGGACCATCCGCCGCCCCCCGCTGAGATTCGCCAAGTCAGAGGGACGTTAACCAGGCCTGAAGTCCAGCTGAAGGGGGTGACACAGACGCTGGTCTGACCAAACCGCCCCCCACCCCAGCTCCCGGGGGAAAGTCCGTTAATTGGAATTTCTCTCTTTGAAAACTGTCTCCAAGGTGCTGGGCGGTGGGAGCAGAGTCTCCCTGGTAGGGCGTCCGGCTGCCCTCCCACTGGGGGCCACTGCGTGGCCACAGGACCAAGGCCCGGAGGCCGGCGCGGGGCCCCCTGACCTCCTTCTCGGTCTCCGAATACTCCTTGAGTCTCTCCACGGCCACTATGTTGGTCTCCATCTCCGAAGACATCCGGACGAGCCAGTTCAGGTATGAGGTGATCTGGGGGCGGGAACGGGGAGGGCAGGCGCCCGGGTCACACCCTGCCCAGTGACCGCCAAGCCACAGGTTGGGCCACAAGAACGACGGAGAGGAAAGAAGCAACGGAAAACATCAGGGACGGGCCGGGAGTCTGGTCCCTGCGGGGCCCTGCGCCTGGGGGAGGTGAGGACCCCTGAGGCAGCAAACCGGGGGGGAGCCCTGAGAGCTGGGGGTGCGGCCTGAAAATGAGATCTAAGAAGAAAGGGCAAGGATTGGGAGTGTCAGGGCAGCAGCTCGAGGGCCTCACCTGCAGGGAGTAGGACACGGACAGGCCCACCAGGCCCGGGCTCAGGCTGTGCCGCGACACCACCGCAAACAGGGACGCGAAGAGCACGATGCAGTTGCCCACGCACTCCAGCCGCACCGCCAGCCACCTGCAGGGGCACACGGGACGACGCGGGGATGCGTGGACGCACGGGCGCACGGACACTTGGACGCAGGGACACAGACACGCAGACACGCGGACTCACGGACACACAGACGCATGGATGCACAGATACAAGAACACACAGGCACATGGACACACGGACACATGGACGTTCGAATGCATGGACACATGGACGTTCGAATGCACAGACACACGGACACACGGACGCATAGACACACGGACGCATAGACACACGGACGCATGGATGCACAGATACAAGAACGCACAGGCACATGGACACACGGACACATGGACGTTCGAATGCACAGACACACGGACACACAGACACATGGACACACGGACGCATAGACACACGGACGCACGGACACCCAGACGAACAGACACAAGGGCCCAGGGCCGTGCTGAGGGTGGGGAGGCAGCCGGTCTGGCTCGGTCAGGGCCCGGGGGAGGGGCAGGGGGGTGGCCGGTCACTGAGCTGATCTCCAGGACCTCCTGAGCCCTCCCCGGTTCTGGGCACACGGGCGAGGGGCAGGGGGCGGGGACGGATTTCAGCAATTCCGTGACAGGCCCCCCAGGGAACGAGACGAGTTCTCCAGAAATGCTTTTTCCCAGGAAATGAGAACTGGCATGTGGGGAAGAGCCAACGGCCCCCTGGTGCCAGCCGCAGCAACAGGCCCACGCCGGCATCTTCCGGGAAGAAGACGCCCTGGGAGAGAGGCGTGAGGCTTCCGAAACGGCGCTCTCCGGGGACGAGGGGGCAAGGGAGGGGCGCGGCCCCCAGCTGCCCTGGCCTCGGGTGGCTCCTCTGGCAGGCCCAGCCCCCACGGCACCCTCAGGCTCTCTTTTGGTCTTGGGGCCACACCCCGCGGTGCGCAGGGGTTCCTCCTGGCTCTGTGCTCAGGAATCACTCCTGGTGGGGGTCAGGGGGCCATATGGGATGCCGGGGATCGAACCCGGGTTGCTCGTGTGCAAGGCAGCGTCCTCCCCGCTCTGGCCCCAGCAGAGGGGATTTTTTTAAAAAAATCTTTTCTGGTTGTTTTTAATTACTTGCACGCGTGCTCAGGGCATTCTCCTCGCCCTGTGTTCAAGAATCACTCCCACAGGGCTTGGGGGACTGTACGGGGGCTGGGGGCTGAGCCCGGGTCAGCGGGTGCAAGGCAAGTGGCCCCCTGCTGTCCTATCCCCCGCCCCCGTTCTTGACTTTGTGCATGTGTGTGCGTGCGTGTGCGGGTGCGTGTCCCTGGGCGAGCATCCCTGGGCTCCCAGGGCGCCCTGTCCCAGAGCCCGTCGATCACCTCGGCGCTGTAACCGCAGGGCGCCCAGGACACAGCGTGACCCACCGCTTCCCCGCCACGACCCCGACCCCTTCCCTCTACACAGCCGAAGCCGCCTGTGAACCCCTGCCTGGCCCCGCCCCGACCGGGTCTCCTCGCTCTGCCACCGGGGCCCCTGGCAGCAGGGGGGCGGGTCCGAATCCCCGTCTGGGGAGTGGGCCCTCGCCTCCGGGGATGCTGCCCGCCCACCCTCCCCACCCCCGAACCTCTCGGGGGACCCCAGTCACACGGGGCGAGGCACGGGCGGACCCTGCCCTGCCCGGGGAGCCCCGAGGTGCCCCCGCCTCCTGGACGTGCGGGGCAGCGGCCCACCTGTTGGCCACGATGCCGGGGAAGTAGGCCTTCTGGTTCTCGTCCACCTTGAGGTCACTCTGGCGGATGAAGCGCTCCTGCTCGGCGAAGGCGCGGATGACGCTGACGCCCAGCAGGGTCTCGTTGAAGTGCGAGTACACGGGCGAGCGGCTGACGGACTCCAGGCGCTTCAGCTGCCGAGAGGACGCCACGTAGAACCTCTGGGGCGAGAAGGGACGCCGAGGGTCGGGGCCGGGCGAGCGGGGCCGGAAGGGGGGCTACTGGCAGGCGGGAACCACAGGTGCCAACAGTCACAGCAGCGCCCTCCTAGCGGCGGGTGGGGGGCATTTCGCAGGCCCCAGCACCTTCGAGCCTCGCCCAGCCCCAGGGGCTATTCCTGCTTCCCGAAATCAAAAAGTACCAAAGGTCAGAAAACTGTCACCAACCTAGGCCCCAGCCATGCCTGGGGGAGGGGGGGGCGCACGGGGGGACTCCTGGCTCAGTGCTCAGGGACAAGTCAGTTTTAATTATTTATTTTCTATTTTTTTGGTGTGGGGGCCACACCCAGCAGTGCTCGGGGGTTCCTCCTGGCTCTGCTCTCGGGAATTACTCCTGGTGGTGCTCGGGGGACCCTATGGGATGTGCCGGTTATTGAATCTGAGTTGGACGTGTGCAAGGCAAACGCCCTCTCCGCTGTGGTATCTATCTGGCCCCCGTTTTAATTTTTTTTTCTTTTTGGGTCACACATGGCGATGCACAGGGGTTCCCCCTGACTCATGCACTCCGGAATTACTTCTGGCGGTGCTCGGGGGACCAAATGGGATGCTGCGAATCGAACCCGGGTTGGCCGCGTGCAAGGCAAACGCCCTCCCCGCTGTGCTACGGCTCCAGCCCCCGTTTTAGTTTTTGAACTTTGAATTTTTAAAAATCTGTTGTTTTGAGCCACCCTTGGAGATGCTCAGGGCTTACGGCTGCTCTACGTCCAGGGGTCCCTCCTGGTGGTGCTTGAGGGACCTCGTGCAGTCCCGGGGGTGGAGCCCAGGTCAGCTATGTGCGAGGCAAGAGCCCTCCCTGCTGCCCTATCGCTCTGGCCCCAAAGCCAGTATTGTGACTTTTGCCTCCGCCACCTTCCTGCTGTTCTTAAACTCCGCCTACAGGGAAACTCACAGCATGCCCAGCCTCTTGGTGTCCGTTGGAGCATCTGTGAGACTCACCCAGGGGATTCACCCGCTCTGCTGGCGCACCCTCCCCGACCTCCCGCCCTGCCTCGGCGTTGTTTTCTGAGATAGAGATGTGATATCCGGAGCTCCAGCAGCTACCTGGGACCAGGAGTCCCCCTGAGACAGAAATCTGAGGCCAAGATCACAGAACGAAAGCGCGAGGGCAGGAGTCCGGGGTCCGACAGATGCCAGGACTTGCCCCGTCAGCCCCTGTGGCTTGAGCTCCAGATTTCTATGTCGAGGGAGAAGAAACACCCAGTGGGGGCTGCCCATGTCATTCCCATCTGCATTATCTGCCGGGGTCTTCACGAGGCTTCTCTCTGGTGACCCGCAATGCACAGGGGTCCCTCCTGCCTTTCACGTTTTTCCTCTTGTGACTTAATAGCGACTGGAGACATCGGTTATGGCAGCCGGAAAACTGTCAGTCCAGGGAACGATGACTTAACCCAACGACAGGAACAAACCCAACCTCCCTCCAGCAAAATCCTGCAAAGCAGGAACGAGAGGAACGAGGGCCAGGAGGAGCAGCCCACAGGGGAGCACACCACGAGGGTGTGTGTGTGTGTGTGTGTGTGTGTGTGTGTGGTGGAGGGTGGGGGAGGGCAGTGAGGACAGAGGAGGGGCCGCTATGACAAAGACAGTTGGAAATGATCTCTCTGGAGAAGAACTGAAGGAGGAAAAGGGACAGACAGGAGGACCTTTCAGTATCTGTGTTGCAAACCATAATGCTCAAAGGAGGGGGGGGAGTGGAGCAAGGGGGAGGGGCGGGGAGAGAGAGAGGGGAGAGAGAGGAGAAAAGTGTCTGCTATAGGGCAGACTGGAGGAAGAAGTGGAATGAGGAAAACTGGGGACACTGGTGATGGGAAATGTGCACTGTTGAAGGGACGGTGGTGGAACAACTTGTAACTGTGTACCTCACTGATTCGATTAAATTTAAAAAAATGAATGGGGGGGGGAAGTGCCTGCCACAGAGGCGGGCAGGGGGGTGGGGGCGATGGGGGGGAAACTGGGGTCACTGGTGGTCAGAAATGTGCACTGGTGCAGGGACGGGTGTTGGAACATCGTATGACTGAAACACAGTCATGGACAACTGAGTAACTGCATCTTGCAATGATGCGATTAAAAGGAAGGAAACAGAAGGGAATTCCTTTCGAGCCCACGGTGGGGCCCGGTGCCTCCTGACCCCTCGGCCCCCGCCCCGCCTCTCACCTGCACGAAGAAGTAGGCGAGGCCAAGGGGCGGGATGGCCACGGCGGCGATGGGCGTGGCCAGCAGGATGATGATGCAGGCGCCGATGACGTTGAACAGGGAGCCCATGAACATCTTGATGACCTGCGGGATCATCGAGTCCACCGTGTCCATCTCCTTGGAGAAGCGGTTGACCAGGTTCCCGCTGGGCGTCCGCTCGAAGAAGCTCATGGGCGACCGGAGGACGTTGCTGAGAAGGTCCAGGTGCAGGCGCCGGGACGCGAAGATGCCGCCGATGGACACGGCCATGGAGTAGCCGAACACAGCGACGCCTGCCGACACCCAGGTGTCAGGTGGCCGCTGGGGGTGGCGCTGGGGGGGCGGGGCCACACCGGGGAGGAGGACAGAAGCCCAGGGCCGTGTCTGGGGGTGGGCAGGAGCCCGGGGCCACACTCGGGGGCTGGGGGACGGCAGGACGGGGCGCCCCCCCATCTCCACCAGCAGGAGGGGAGGCCGCTGCTCCCACGAGCCTAACTCGGGCGGGCTCTGGCCCCTGACCCTGTGCGGACAGCCCCGCTCTGCAGGCGAGGACCCTGGAGGCCCCCAGGTGGATTCCTCTGCCCACTTGCGGGGGGGGGCAGTGGGGTGTCTCGGGGGCTCTGGGCCCGCCCTCTCGGCCGCCAGCGGCACCGGCCTTGGCTCCCCCTTGGGCTTCGCTCGACTCCACGCTCGAGTCCCACCGACCAGCAGGGCTCAGAGGCCTCTGGGCTTGGTGCTCGGGAGCCTGCGCGGGGCCGGGAACCTGCTCGGGTTCAGGCAGGCGGAGCCTGGGCGGCAGCTGCTGCGCGCCCGTCTGCCTCTCTGTCTCTGTCTCTGTCTCTGTCTCTCCCCCGCCCCACTCCACCTCGCTCCATCTTTCGGTCTCTCTCTGTCTCTCTCTTCCTGGCGATGCTCAGGGCTCGCTCCCGGCAGTGCTCGGGGCACCCCACGAGATGCTGCGAGTGGGGCCGGAGCCCCCGTGTCCTGTCTCTGCAGCCCGCCCCCCCCCCCCGGGTGCCCCTCGCCCGGGTTCAACGTCGGTGAGCATCAGCCCGTTCCGCTCCCCGGGGCCCTCCTCTGTGAGAGGGGCACTCAGACACAGCTGCCCCCCCCCCGCCCGGGCCGGGCGCCACCTTGCGAGATGCCCAGGGCGCCGTACACGCTGAGGCGCAGGTGCGTGTGCTGCTGGGTGCCGTTGACGATGGGGTCGTCCGTCCAGAGGCTGAGCCAGTAGTTGGAGGCCAGCGCGGCCACGTGGTTGCAGAGGAAGAGGAAGATGCTGAGGAAGGAGATGAAGAGCCCGATGGCCTTCATGTAGTCCCAGTACACGGACAGCTTGACCTGGGGGGGCAGGGGTGTCACGGCCACGCCCGGGCGCCCCCTCCCCCGCCCCCAGCTCACAGTCCGGCTGGAACCGGCCCCAGCAAGGCCTGTCCGCAGGCACCAGAAGGTGACCCTGGGGCTGTTTTCCCCTCAGGTGCTATCCCCCAGGCGCCCAGCCGAAATTTAAACAAACATCTCTCGGGGTGGCAGAACGAGTCGAGACTGGCACTCAGCTGACCCTGCACCCTCCCAGAGACCCCCAAGCCCCGCCAGGAGTGATCCCTGAGCACACAACCAGGAGTGATCCTTGAGCATACAGGAGCACAGGGCCAGCAGTCAGCCCCGAGCACTCCTGGGACAGGCCCCAAATCCAAATAATACCCGCCACCCCCCCCAGTGTCCTGAGCCCCAGACAGAGCCCTGCTCCCCAAATCCGCTTCCCTGCCCCGGGCCTTTTCCTCTCACGGGCGCACATGCTCTCACCTCAAACTCTCCTGGCGCTGGAGAGCACCCAGGGACCCCCCAGGCCCTCCTGCTCCCACTGGGACCCGAAAAAGTCACGCCCAATGCCCTGCAGCGCCCGGCTTCCCCTTCTGGGGCGAGGGGCCGTCTCTGTCCCCCGCGCTGAGGCCGGGAGCGGGTGTCACGGGAGGGTCTCACCATGCAAAGTCACTTTATTCTTCCGGGACGCCAGGGACGGGGCCCAGGGCCTGGGGCCTCGTGTGTGCCGGGCCTGCGCCCAGAGGTGCCCGGGAGACACGGGGGAGCGGCCCGCAGTGAGCGGTCAGTGTGGCCTGTCCCTCGGCCGGGGGCTCGGGGATGGGCGCCCAGGCAGGCTGAGACGCGGGGCTGAAGGAGCCACGAGCCCCCCTGAGGTTTCCAGCCCACAGACCCCCGGAAGCCTCCTGGAGACCCAACTGTGCAGGGACTGACCATCAGCACGGTGTCCATGGCTGGGCCGTGAGGGGGTCAGTGGGAGTCGCCGGCCCTGGCTTGAGGCTCCCCAGTTTGCTTGCTCAGAGGCCGCGGCCGTGAGGACGGCAGGGACGGCCAGTGCATGTTCCTGGCTGCCCCGGGTGGGGTTTGGGCCCCAGCCCTGCTGTTTGCCCGTGGGGGCTGTGGGCAGGGGCCCTGACATCTCCCGCCCGGGGCCTCACCTGCCCGGTCTGGGCCTTGTCCGCCTCCATCAGCTTCCACGACTCCTCCTTGGCGGCCCCGGCCTTCTGCAGCTCGGCCGAGCTGGCGTGGTGCCGGCTGGCGTCCCCGCTGTAGGAGGAGGAGCTGCTGAGCTGCCTGGGGGTCCGAGACACGAGGGCGTCAGCAGGCGGCACCCAGCACCCCTCTGCCGACAGCAGGCGTGACCCCGAGAGGCCCCAGGGCTCGGTGGGCTGGCAGAAGGGGCCAGGAAGGTGCCCTGTGCATGGCCGGGTGCGGCCCCGGCTCAGAACCAAACAGCAGACGAAGCGAATCCTTGCCCGTCTGGGGGGGTTCCACGCTGGTGGGTATTTTTTTTCTTTTTGGGTCACACCAGGCGATGCACAGGGGTTACTCCTGGCTCTGCACTCAGGAATGACTCCTGGCGGTGCTCGGGGGACCCTATGGGATGCTGGGACTCAAACCCGGGGTCGGCCACGTGCAAGGCAAATGCCCTCCCCGCTGTGCTATCGCTCCAGCCCCACGCTGGTGTATTTTAAGTCCTGGTTGCTGTTGAGCCTGGAGACTGCCCCTGGCCGTGCTGGGGGGCGTGGGGGGTGTGACTGGGGTGGGGGCCACGCTGGATGGCGCTGGGAGCCACGGAGCCACGGGGGTGCCAGGGACTGGCCCCAACTCAGCCCCAAATGCTGCTGTGGAAATGCTCCAAGGGGCCGTGGCAGACTCAGGACGGCGGGCCCGTGGCGTCCGTGGAGGGCCCCGAGGTGCCGGGGACCCAGAGCTGGGGTCCCCCGGCCTGAGGGTGCGGGTGAGAAGTCTGCTCCCCCAGGCCTAACCTGGTCTGCAGGGAGCCCCCAGATCCCAGGCAGCCCGGAGACAACCTCCTCCCCCACCTCCCGGGCCGAGTCCCGCCTGCCTCACCTCTGCAGCTGCTTCCCTGCCGCCTCGGGCACCAGCACGCCGTTCTCCATCTGTCGGGTCTCCTTGCCCGGGACACCGGTGGCCGCTGGCCCTGCGGGAGCAGGAGACCGAGGGAGACTCAGGTTTCCCCAGCCAGGCGGGCACCAGGGGGCAGATACCACAGCTGCCACGAGGCTGCGGGCTGGGGGCACCGGCTTCGCCGCAGACGGACAGACTGCCCAGGGGAGGGGGCACCGAAGGAGTCAGCGAGCCCGCTGGCGCACCCTGGTGTGTCGCTGTCCTGGGGGGCAGGCGAGGAGCCTGCAGCCGTCTCCTGGCCCCACCACCTCCCTGCAGGGTGCCCCCGAGGCCACCAGGGACAGTGGGGAATGCGGGGACTGGAGTGTGTGTGTGTGTGTGTGTGTGTGTGTGTGTGGTGGGGGGATGTGGGAAGGTTGGGGAACGCTGGGCTGGTGGCCCTGGGACCTGCTGACATGACAGGGGTGACGCAGAGTCCCGGGGCGGGCCCTGAGGACCCTGAGAAGGACGGAAGGTGGAGCACCTTGGGGTATTGGGGGAACCCCCCCGGCTTGTGGGGGGAGTTCAGGTGACTGGGATGGGGGCCGCCCCAAGGGCGAGAAAGTGACTGAGCCTCGAGGCCACACGTGCACGTGCAGTGACGGGGGTCTGGCAGGTGCGGGGGGGGCACGTGGCCATCACTCGCCAGCCCGCCTGGCCACGTCACGGCAGAGCGGCCCGCTAGCGCGCTACCTGGGGCCGCTGGGTGCAGGAAAGGTGCAGCCAAGCGGCTCCGCTGCGAGGGAGCCCGAGATCCGGCCGCGTCCCTGGGGCTCCCCACCCAGGTGGCCCCTAGCAGAGGAGGGACGCGTGCCGGCCAGCCAGGCAGCAGCAGAGGCGCAAGCACTCGGGACCCCTCGAAGGAACGTGGCTGCAGCACAAGCCCGTCCACTGCTCCCTCTACAAGCACCGGCCGCAGAAAGCCAGGCGCCACGGAAGCCCGGCGCCACTGACCTTGGCCTTCTTCTGCGGCTGTGCCACCTGCGAAGTCACAAGGTCAGGAAGGGGTTGAGAGCCGGGAGGCGGCAGAGGGCGCGGACGGCCGCATCCTCTTCGGCAGCGCGACGGCCAAGCCTGGCCGGGCACCTGTGCCTTAGTTTCCCCATCCCGCACGACACAGCCCGGGGCTGGCTCCTTTCCCTCAAACTCAGAACTCGGCCCTGAGGCCCATTTCCGTGGCAGCCACGGGGGGGAGGAGGAAGGGCTGGGCCCAGCCATGGGCAGAGTGTTCTGGGCACAGATGCTGATCGGCGGGAGCTGACTCGAACCCGAGCCGGGGGGGTGCTCCCCTCCCTCCTCGAGTTCCTTCAGCCCCCCACAGTGCTGAGACCCTGGCGGTTCGGCTTGGGTCTCCTCGCCGACCGAAACCCTCCGTGTTGGGGTGCGGGGCCGCACCCCGTGGTGCCTCGGGGCCACTCCGAGCCTGAGACCAGGTGGCTGGGGAGGGGTCCCGCATCCCCAACTCACTCCCACACAGCACCTGCTGGGGTGGGGGGCCTAAAAACGCCCCGAGGGGCTGAAGTTCCCAGGGGCGGGGGACGGAGAAAAGGAGCCCGTGGACAGGGTTTCCTCTCGGGCAGGGACACGTGCCACAAGCCAGAACAGAAACAAATACCGTGGCATGAGGAGAAACCAGGGCCAGACTGGGCCACGGCACTGAGTGTGAAGCAGAGCTGTAAGGAGGAGGGAGGAGGAGGGAGGAAAGGGGGGAGGGAGGAAGAAGGGAAGGAGGAGGAAGGGAGGGAGGGAGGGAGGGAGGGGAGGAGGGAGGAAGGGGCGGCCGTGGACTCGGACACCAGCCTTCGAGCACTCCTGGGGGGGGTGTGAGCAGCAGGTTGGGGTCGAGTGAAAGCCCAGCGGGGCCTTGCACACGGCCGACCCGGGTTCCATCCCCGGCACCCCACAGGGTCCTCTGAGCCCGCCAGGAGGGATCCTGGCCATGCAGCCAGGAGTCAGCCCTGAGCACCGCCAGGGTGGCCCCAAACAATAAAACGAAACACACGAAGCAGCAGACCCGGGGCACGTCCCCAACCTTGAGGTGCCCCGCCCCCACACCGGTGGTCACCCCACTCCCACCCTGCCCCCGTTCCTCCTCAAACAGGTTCTGGAACTCTGCATGGGCAGGGCCAGTGGGCAGCGGCCGGAGGGAAGGCGCCAAGGCCCGGGGGTCAGCACTGCTGACCAAACATGGACTGTGCCACCTCCCGCCCGCGTCTCCCGCGACAGACCGAGGCAGGAAGAAACCCACTGCTGGGGACGGCCCAGAGGAAGGTGCAAGCCGGGGACAGGCCTCTGGGGCTCTGTGGTGAGAGGCCTCCTGCTAGGGGGCCGAGGAGATGGCTCAGTGGTCAGGTCTGATACAGAGCCCGGCCGCCGCCTCTGCACCACCAGGGGTTGGGGGTTTCTGTGTGGTCCCCCCTTCCTGAGGCCTGAGCACTGAGCTGCCGGGTCCACCCAGTCCAGCTGGGCGTGGCCCTGTCCGGTGGGGGGACGGTGGGAAAGACCCAGCCCAGCGCCAGTTCTGGGAGGGGATGCAGATAAGGCCAGAGGACAAGGCAAACTCGGAGGCAGCCCTGGGGCAGCCGCACGGGGAGGTGGGCTGGGCGGGAGTGAGGGGGCGGGAGCTCTGTCGTTCCCCAGCGTGCAGGGGCGCCTGGCCTGCTGCGGGCACCGGGCCCTGTCGTGCTGCCCCTCGGCGGCCGAGTCTCGGGGCTCCCCAGGCCAGGCAGGAGGCCACACGCCTCGCCCGAACCCAGGTCCCACCCGTGCCCAGCAGGACTGCCACGGGTTTGCCACGAGACGGCCACGACTGGGGCAGTGACAGGAGCGTGGGAAGCACAGCCCCCCCACCCCAGGGCTCCTTCCAGGGCGCACCCCTGGGCCTTCCACGGGAGGGTGGGTGTCAGGCGCCCGGCCCGGCCCTACCGTCCTCCGGCTGGCTCTGCTCCTGCTCGGCGCTGGCGTAGGTACGCAGGAACTCGGCGAAGGCGCCCTCCCGGGCCAGCAGCTCCTGGTAGGAGCCCAGCTCCGAGATCTTGCCGCCGCTCATGACAACAATGACGTCGGCCTGCGGCAGGTAGCTGATGCCATGCGTGACCAGGAGGCGCGTCTGCGGGCCACGGGGAGAGGCGGCGGCGTCAGTGCACCAGGGTCAGACTGTGCACCCGTGGGGGGGGGGGGGTCCCGCCACACGCCGGCAGGGGGCGGCAGCAGCTGGGGTGGACGCCCAGGGAGTTGGGGTTTGGGGGCAGCTCCACCAGGAACTCCGGGAGCCGAACTGAGGGTAGGGGGGAAAGGCAGCGAGGAAGACAGCCTCAGGGCCACGCTGAACCGTCGTCTCTGTCCTTCTCTGACAGTGCCCAGAGCAAGGGAAAACAGACAGAAGTGGCCGGGGAAGGAAGTGAGGGGACGGGCTGGAGAGAGCACAGCGGGGAGGGCGTTGGCCTCGCACGTGGCCAACCCGGGTTCGAATCCCAGCATCCCATAGGGTCCCCCGAGCACCACCAGGAGTCATTCCTGAGTGCAGAGCCAGGAGGAACCCCTGAGCATCACCAGGTGTGACCCCCTCCAAGAAAAAGCAAAAATAAATAGTTTTTAAAAAAAAAAAACAAACCGAAAGTGAGGGGACAAAGGGAGCCACAGTCTGACTCACGGTCTGCAGGCCAAGCAGAGGGGAAAAGGCTGGAAAGACATTTACCACAGAAGGGGCAGAGAGGGCTGAAGAAAGCTTTTGCAGAGTTAAAAGGGGGCTGGAGCAATAGCACAGCGGGTAGGTCGTTTGCCTTGCACGCAGCCGACCCGGGTTCGATCCCCAGCACCGAACCACCAGGAGTAATTTCTATGTGCAGAGCCAGGAGTGACCTCTGAGCATCGCCGGGTGTGACCACCCCCCCCCCCAAAGAAAGGACAGAAGTCCCAACAGTCTGCGCTGGACAATGAGCACCTGGCAGGGGAGGGCTGGGAGGGGCGGGGCTGTGACTCCGCTCACGGGCAAGGGGCCGAGCCGGCTGCGGGCTACACCCAGCAGTGCTCAGGGCTGGCTCCCGGCTCTGTGGCCGGGGCTCAGGGGACCCTTAGCGGGGGTTGGGGATCGAATCCACACCAGCTGTGTGCAGGGCAAGCGCCCTGTCCTGTGTCCTGCCTCCCCGGGCCCCCGGCGTCTCTTCTTCTCTGCAGCCGAAACCTGGGTGCTTGGCCCTGTCCTGGGCGGGGGTGGGACCCGAGCCTCACGGGGACAGCAGGGGGACCCAGGAGCGTGGCCGGTGGCTGCAGGGACTGTTTCCCTGGGCCACAGCGGGCTTTTTTTAGCATTCAGTATTTTTAAGGGGTCTTCTTTGACTTCCGGCCACCCCCACCCCCGCCACGGCCCCCGGGCAGGCACCTTGTGCTTCAGCATCCCCTTGGGGCCAATGACGTTCTCGAAGATGTGCTTGCCCACGTGCGAGTCCACCGCCGACAGGGGGTCGTCGAAGAGGTAGATGTCCGAGTCACAGTAGACGGCCCGGGCCAGGCTCACGCGCTGCTTCTGCCCCCCGGAAAGGTTCACACCCTGCAGGGAGGCGGGGGGCGGTGAGGCGCAGGGTGGGGGTCCCGGGGAGGCTGTAGCCAGCCCAGCCCAAGCACAGTGACGGGCGGGTCGCGGGCACCCAGGGGACATGGGTGCGGCCCCGGCACAGGCCTGGTGTTGGCTGTGCCTCACGGTCCCTCGTGGCCCACCTGCGGCCTCACGCACGCCAGGCCCCAGCGGTCCCCACCCGCCACCTGCCGCCGCCCAGCCGGGCGCTGGGCCGCACGGCGAGGGGCTGTCATTGGTGTCAGTAGTCGGTGTGTCTGTGTGGGCGTGCGCCTCAGTGTATGTGAACGTGGGACTGTGTGTCGGCGTGAGTAGACCTGTGAGTGCGTGTCCGTGAATGTGTGAGAACGCGTGGGTGTGCGTGGGTGTGCGTGAGTGTGCGTGTGCGGACCCCCCCAAGCAGCACACACCCCTCGGCACTCCCGCGACAGAGACCCCTGCCTGGAGGGGGCCCCCTTCCCAGGGACCAGGTGGGGCAGGCGGCCAGGCTCCCCCCGATGGTCCCGGGGCCACACCTGGATGGCCGGCACCGCCCCCAGCCCCGGCTAGCTGGGCCGCGAGTGTTCTCTCGTCCCGGAGGGGCCTCCCGGGGCAGGAAACGGGAAACTGGGGCCAGAGCCAAGGGCAGCAAGGGGGGCAAAGGCAGGAGGCAGTGGACGGACGGCGCCGCCCACCCCGGCTCTGCAGCTCCCAGCTGGGCTCTGTGGTCTCCCTCCGGTGCTGGCTCCTGCTGTGTGAGTGTGCGTGCGTGCACGTGTGTGTGCGTGTGTGCGACATACTGCCACAGACCCGGCTGCTATCCGCTGTGCATGTGCATCAGTGTGCGTGTGCGTGTATGTGCGTGTGTGTGTGTGCGCGTGACATGCTGCTGCCACAGATCCCGGCTGCTATCTGCCACGCGTGAGTGTGTGAGTGTGTGTGAGTGGAGGTGGCGTTCACTTCTCCGGCGCCCCAGGGTTCCGGCGATGAAGAGCAAAGCCCTCAGGCGGGCAGGGAGCCTGTCACCCAGGCCGGGCACGGGACCCTCTGCCAGGGCCTGATGAGCTCTGTGGCACGGCAGCCACTGACACGGCGCGTCCCCCACCGCGGGCTGGGGGCCGGGCGCACCTTCTCCCCGATTTCCGTCCGGTCCGCACTGGGCAGCATTTCCAGGTCGGGCAGGAGGGCGCAGGCGGCCACAACGGCCTGGTAGTGGCGCTCCAGGAACGGGCGCCCGAAGAGGATGTTCTCCCGCAGGGAGCCGTTCTGGATCCAGGCCTGCTGCGGGACGTAGGCCACGGAGCCCTGCCAGGGACACACGGGTCAGCTGGGGGAAACTGAGTCACCAGGGATGCTGGGCTGGGCCCGGGACCCACGTGCGGCCAGGAGTTCAAGGGCAAGACCTTTGGGGGGGGGGCAGCAGAAAGGCCCGAGGGAGGAGGGAGCGACGGGGAGCTCGCGGGTCTCCTTGATGGCCACCAAGAGTCCACCACGTGCCGGGCACCGCCCAAAGGCCCGATGGCTGCCCCCGCCTCCCCCCAGCTCACCTTCACGGCCACGTGTCCCTCCACCTTGTCCATCTCGGCCAGGAGCGCGGACAGCAGAGACGACTTCCCGCAGCCCACCTGGCCCACCACGGCCACCAGGGTGCCCTCGGGCACGGAGAAGCTGATGCTGGAGGGGTGGGTCAGGAGGGGGAGGGAGAGAGGGAGAGGGAGGGAGGGAGAGAGGGAGAGAGCGCCACCATGAGGCTCCCTCTCCTTGCATCTGGCCGTGGGCCCTTCCTGTCTGGAACTTTCTGGCCCTTCCCACAGCCGAGCCTGGCTGCCCGGGATGTGCCCCACGGGGGAGGTGGCAGGCGCGTCTCGGGAAATCGGGGAGGGGTGGAGGGTGTCCCCGCCCCCCATCAGACCCGCATCTGAGCTGGACGCCTTCATGCGTGACAGTGGGCGCAGCTGGGGAGGCACCGCGGCCACCTGCTGGGCAGCTCGGGGTGGGGTGGGGGTCCGAGGAGTCGGGCATTTCTGCTGGTCAGTGCTGGGGGAAACCGGGGGTCCCTCCCGATGGTGCTTGGGGGACTGGGGGGCCCTGTCTCAGGCCACCGAGTCTCCCCACTGGCCTTGGAGCCGGGAAGGCAGTTTGGGCTGACGGAACAGGAAGCGTCCTGGCTGGTGGGCGCGAGGGCAAGGTGACCGCACACGAAGACGGTTCGGCTGACCTGCCAGCAGGGGGTGGGGGGGGCGCGTGCACCCCCTCCCCAGGCGACCCAGGAAGAGATTCTTGTTCAGGGGAGCAGAGGGGATAATCTGACCCTGCGGTTGGGGAGTTTCTGGGGAGGCCCGAGAGCACTGTGGGGGGCAAAGCCTCCAGCCAGGACAGGGCCCGGGTGGGCAGAGCCAGGCGGGCAGGGTCCGGCCACCCCCAGGGCTTCCAGTGCTGTGGATGGATGGGGGCTGGGGGCGGGGGAGCGGGCCAGGACCACACTTGCACCCTGCGCTCTGGTGCTGCTGACACCACCACCGGGAAGGACACGAGACCTCATCCAAGCCAATGAGCCGCAGGCGGGGCTCCCGGGAGGCGGGGAGGCACCCCCACCCCACACCGCCCCCCCTCCGGCATCACACAGGAAGCAGAACGAGGAGGGGCACGGCTTCTGCGTAGAGGCTGCGCTGCACGTACAAGGCCCGGGCTGGACCCAGAGGAGAAGAGCCCCGCCATCGCCCCTGGGCCCCTCCCCTCCCCAGCCCCTGCCCCCACTTCCGGTTCCTCAGCCCTGCTCCAGCCTGAGGCTGAGCCGACCCCCTCCGGCCCTCCCTGCTCTGAGGGCGCCTGGATCACACCGTCCCTGAAGGAGGCTCTTCTCCATGCCCCTCCCCGTGCCCGTTCCCATCGCAGGCCATCTGTGGGGACCCCCCCCCCCCGGCACCAGGCCCCCCCTCACATCACCCCTGCAGGCGGCAGTGCTCAGGGGCTTCCTCCCAGCCGGCTCACCTGTGCAGCGTGGGCGGGTCACTCCGGGCCCAGGTGAACGTGGCGTTCTTCACGGTGATGCTGTTCGTGACGCCACCTGTGAGGGGCAGATGTGGCGTGTCAGGAGGCCGCGGGGGGTGCGCCCCCGAGAGGAGGCGTGAGGAGTGGGTACCCCTGCCCCCCGCATTGGTATGGGTGGAGGTGATGCTCCCGGGACTCCCCACCGACTGCGTGGAGGCATCAGGGGGCAACTCTGGCTGGAAGGACCGAGCAGAAGTTGGGGGGTGGGCAAGGCCCCCCAAAGGAAGTGGGGGCAGGGGCTGGGCGAGGGGAGGGGTCCAGGGGCGACGGTGGGGGCTCAGCCCCTGGCCCCCTCCCTCCCTCTCCGTACACCCCCTCCCACCTTGCTTCCAACGATTTTTGACTCTCATCTATGAGGTCCCCTGAAAACACACAGGCCACCCAGGGACAGGGCTTGGGGGTGTTTCAAAGTCACCCCTGCAAGAAGTCCACCCCCCACCCCTCCACACCCCGAAGAAACAGCAGCCCCGGGCAGCGGGAGGGCACCAGCCCTGCATGCAGCCAACCCGGGTTCAATCCCCAGCACCCCCATGGTGCCTGGGGCCCACCAGGACAGGAGGGATTCCTGAGTGCAGAGCCAGGAGTGTGGCCCCCAGACAAAGCAAAACAAAGGAACGGAAGTCCATGACGGACACACACACACACACACACACACACACACACATACACACACACACACACACGCGCGCGCGCGCGCGCACGCGGAGTTAGTGGCCACCAGCCTCATAACCCCATGCCCAGCCCGGCCCTCCAGGACCAGAGCGGGGGCTGGTGGGTGCCATTTAAGGAATTTTAAAAAGAAGCTTGAGGGGCTGGAGCGATAGCACAGCGGGGAGGGCGTTTGCCTTGCACGATTGCCGGGTTCGATTCCCAGCATCCCATAGGGTCCCCCGAGCACCGCCAGGAGTAACTCCTGAGTGCAGAGCCAGGAGTAACCCCTGTGCATCGCCGGGTGTGACCCAAAAAGCCAAAAAAAAAAAATTTAAAAAAATAAAAAGCAGCTTGAACCAGACGGTCCAGAGAGCCACAGGGCCGCTGTGGCCTGGGACGTGGGCGCGGAACAGCATCTCCAGAAGCGGGGGGTGGGGGTGCTGGAGCCACCTGGAGCTGCCCCCCCCACCCCTGCAGGGGGCAGCCGGGGCCCGCCGAGCCCGTCCCGGGGCGGCCTGGGCAAGTCCCTTGAAGCCGAGTCTGGGTCACTCTCCCTTCCGCGACAGGGAGCCGACGGGCGTGGGGAGGCCCAGGGCCGTGGCGAGGGCGGTCGGGAGGGGGCCGAGCGGGTGCCAGGCCAGGCGAGGCTGGGGAGGGGGCGCCTGCAGCCCCCCTGTGCCGAGCAGGAAGCATGCGTGTGCTGGTGACACACACGCACACGCAGGCAGTCGCACACGCGCGCACACACCGTCCTTGATGGAGCGCCGCTCGATGCTGTCGGGCTCCAGCTCCTCGTGGGACAGGAAGACGCGGAGGCGCTTCAGGGAGACGCTCGCCTGCGGACAGAGCAAGAGGCCGCCTGACTCTCAGGGGCTCCTCTGCGGGACGGACGGACGGACGAGGGGGCGAGCCAGGGATCCCCCCGTGGAGGCCACACACACACTCGCACACACGCACGCACGCACGCATGAACACATGCACACACACACGCGCACACACACACATGCACACACACACGCACACACGCACACACACACGCGCACATGCACCTGAAACCTCTGAAGCAAGAACGAAACGGGTTTGGGGTCTGGTCTGGTTCCCTCTGGAGGCCCAAGTCGGTGTTGGGAAGGAGCCAGAGACTGTTTTAGAGTCTCAGGCCACACACCCTCAGGGCACACGCTTCCAGCTGGGTCCTGGGGGTCCCTCGGGCCAAGGTGCCCCTTCTAGGCTGCTCAGGGATAAGTGCAGCCCCCCCCCCGCCAAGAAATCTGTGTGGCCACACCAGGGGGCCCTTGGAGGGGGGGCTGGAGGATGGACCCAGGCGGCCACAGGTCAGGCGCGCGAGCAGCCCTCTCAACCCTCCCGGGCTCGGACACGCGGCCTCTCACGGTACCAGCTCGAACCTTGGGCTCCAGGTGCTGACCACACGTACTGGGAAGGGGATTCCTGGTCAAGAGCTTTGCAGGCAGGGTGGGAGAGGAGGAAGAGGAGGAAGAGGGGCCCCAGGGTGGGCCCAGAGGGACAGAGGAGACTTGGGGCAGCTGCATGGGGTCTCGGGGTCCTGCGGCCCCCACGTCTGAGAGAGGGAGGGAGGGAGAGGGCGGGGGAGGAGGGGCGCGAGGCGGCCGCCCAGCCCACCTGCACCATGCTGCTGATGACCATGGGCAGGATGTTGAGGGGGAAGCGGAGGATGTTGAACAGGGCGAGGGACACGAAGGCTTTCTGCGCGTCCAGGACGTTGTTCTCGTTGACGGTCACGTAGACGGCGAACGTGGACAGCGCCACCTGTGGGCAGAGGGCCCGCCCCAGTGAGCCCGGGGGCGGCTCCCGCACCGCCAGCCCACCCCAGGGGGCCGGGCAGGGTCGCGCCCCAACAAGGAGCCCGGGGCGCTGGGACTGGACAGAGGGGAGACCGGGCGCCCTGAGTCCCAGCTGCGCACTCCTGGGTCCCCCACACGCGGGAGCCCACACCAGACCTCGGCCCCCGCGGCTCCGCGGGACGAGGCTGATCTCAGCTCCCGAGTCCCTCACCTCACGGCCAGGAAGTGTCTTCGGGTGTATCCGGGGCCTGCACACAGGCCCCTCGAGACCCCAGGCGGCACCGCAGGATGGGGCCTGGCCTCTGGGGTGCTGCCTTCCGGGGTTCAGCAGGTCAAGACGCGCCCGGTACGGTGCCACGGGCTCAGCACCCCACCCCGCCCCGCTCCCGCCCTGTGGTGGGACCTCGCGCTCCCCAGGGCAGAGTCGCGCCCCCGTGACCCGCAGTCCTGCCCGCCGAGAACGGAGTCTGTCTGTCCTGCCTGCCGAGGCAGAGGCCTGAACACGACAGAAAGCTGAGAGCCACGCGTGCCCGAGGTGGGGGTTCCTGGGGGCATCACTGCTGTCTCCCCGGGTGGAACAGTCTGCATCACCACGTGTCCGGGTCGGGGGTGGGAAACAGCCGGACGGAAAGGTGGGTGGTGAAGGCGGATGGGGGGCCGACGGGCGGGTGAGCGGGGGTGGATTTACTGGACGCAGGAGGGACCATGCACAGAGGGACGCATCTCCCCAGCACGGGAGAAAGCCAGGCCCCAGGCAGCTCACCCCCAGGGCCTCTGGGCTGGCCCCTGGCCGTGCAGAGATGTCGGAGAGGAGAGGGGCCCGGTCACACCGTGCCCCTGGCTGGTCCACATCCCCTACCTACGGAGGGAGACGGAGACGGACTCTCTCTCCCAGCTTCAGAGCACGGAGACGCAGCCAGGCCCGACGCCCCCATTATGGACCCTACATCGAAGCACCAAGTTTCCTAGATGGTCCCGTTTTCGAGGCTTTTCCTGCTTCTTTGAGAAAACCTGGGTCACCCTGGTTAGGTTCCGGCCACCTGTGAGCCACTCCCCGGCGCCTACGGTTTACTCGGACATCTTGCTCCTCTGCATCCTCCCCTATGCCACAGAATCACTCCCCACCAACCCGCAGGCACCGTCCCCCAAGTTTCCCAAAGGGACGCAAGCCAGAACCAAAACCAGCACCGGAGACGAGTCACGCGTACGATGCGGGAAGCCGAGAGCCTCTGCGGGGCTGGGAACTGGTCTGGGGGACATCGGCCGACAGGGGCCAAGCAGCCCAGGGAGGCAACCTCAGTGGCCCCCACTGTGGCCCCAGGCACTGCCACAGTGACGCCCGGTCCCTGCAGGTCCCCCAGCCTCTGCCTTCCATCACACTCAGCCGTGGGCAAACGCCACCCCGTCCTCAAGACCAGGAACTTGCCGTGGGACGCGCGGGCAGCCGTAAGCAGGGCCCGGACACGGAGTTCACCCGAACGGAGTCAGACGCCACGCGGCCCACCTCTCCCACCCGCCCTGATGCTGAGAGAGAGAGTCCAGGGCGGCTCCGAAGCGTCACCCAGTCCCTGTACCCGCCGGGGGTCCCTTGCTTTTTGGGTCACACCCGGCGATGCTCCAGGGGAATTCCTCCTGGCTCATGCACTCAGGAGTTACTCCTGGTGGTGCTCGGGGGACCCTATGGGAAGCTGGGAATCGAACCGGGTTGGCCGCGTGCAAGGCAGATGCCCTACCCACTGTGCTATTGCTCCAGCCCCAAGCCCGCTGTGCAGTCTTCACGGAGAAGGCGCTTGGCAGAACAGAACTCGCAGAGTAACCCTGGACACACACACACACACACACACACACACACACACACACACGGTCCCTGTGTCAGACTCCCCGGTCCCCTCCCTCACACACAGGCAAATCTTTCCCTAATAAATAATGCAAATCGAGACGCCTCAGATTAGCTCAGGGAGAGTGGCTCCAAGGCCCCCCACCCCCCAGGAGCCCCATCCAATGACCCGCCCACCTCACCAGAGGAAGCCCCCAAGCACTGCTGGGTGCGGCTCCCAACTCCTCCCACTGACCCAGAAAATAGCAAAACCAGGCAAGCAACGACCTCCCCCGCCCCCACGCCTTGGGTTTCTGTGGGAGCTGCTCTCCCGGCTGTGAGGGGCAGAGGAGTGCAAGCTGGCCCACCGCACTGAGGTCCGGGGAGGTACTCGGGCCTGGTGCCCTTGGGGCCAAACGCCCGGCCTCAGGACTGCCAGGCCCGTGTTCCACCACGTCACCCCCGTCCCCGCCCCGGCCTGAGCTATTTTGTTTTCTTTTGGTTTGGTTTTGGGCCACGCCCAGCGGTGCTCAGCCAGGCTGATTCCTGGCTCTGCACTCAGGACCTGTTCCTGGAGGAGCTTGGGGGTCCCTATGGAATGCCAGGGATCGAACCTGGGCTGGCCGTGTGCCAGGCGAATGCCCTCCTCGCTGTACGGTCGCTCTGACCCCCCGTTTCACTATTTTTACCGTGACTTTCTGTGCCCCGTACAGAAAAGACCTTTGATAGTTTTAGCAAACACACGGAGAGGACTGAGCGGTCGAAAGAAAAAGAACAAAACGGAGCCTCAAGGTCGCTGCCAGCCCCTCCTCGGACCTGTCTGAAAGAACAGAGAGGGCCGCCACGGACCTGGAAACCATCCGGGAGGCCGAATGGACCAAGAGGGGGTCGGAGCAACGGGACGGCGCAAGGGCGCTGGCCTTGCACACCGCCGGCCTGGGTTCTTCCCCGGGCTCTGCATCCATCCCCCAGGCCTGCCGGGAGTGCGTCCTGAGCACGCAGCCAGGAGTCAGCCCCGAGCATCGCCGGGTGTGGCCCAGCAAACGAAAAACGCAGAAAGGGTGGGAAGGAACCTTCTGGCCTGGAATGCCAGCGCAGGAGCAGACGGGACTTTCCGGAAGGTGGTGTTCCAGAAGGGCCAAGAGGTGCCACTGCCCGTCACGGCTAGAGGTCAGCGGGAACTGGTGTGAAGGGGGCGGAGCCCATCACACACACACACACACACACACACACACACACACACACACACCCCTGGCTGACTCTGAAAGGCCCATGGTGCTCCCACAGTCCAAGGCTGGTGTCTGAACAGGCCCGAGACCAAGGATGGATTTGACATTTTTCTTTCCTTTTTTCAAGGGCCAATGGTTGGGAAATGGTGCTCGGGACTGCAGTGCTCTGGGGGGGGGGCGGGAGGCGCCAGGCCATGCTGGGGCTCAGGCCCAGGCCTTCCAGCCGCCTCCCCGCTCCCTGATTCTGACACGTTTCAATGCCTAGGGTAAAAAAAAAAAATTGTGGGCGGGATGACAGACAGCACAGCAGGGAGGGCACTTGCCTTGCTCGTGAGGCCAACCTGGGTCTGATCTCCGGCCTCCCCTAGGGTCCCCCGAGCCCGCCAGGAGTGATTCCTGAGTGCAGAGCCAGGGCTCAGCCCTGAGCATCGCCGGGTGTGCCCCCCCCCCCCCCCGAACAAAAACAATTAAAATAAAAATTCAAACCGATTGCAAGGACCTGAAAATCCACGGCTCTCACACAGGGGGTGGGGGGAGGGGGCGGGGGGGAGGTGCTTGAACACACGCCACAGGCCTGGCCCTTGGGAATGAATTTCTGCGGGCCCCAGAGCTGCAGCGCCAGCAAGCTCGGAGGTACCCAGGGCCTCCCCCTGCTGGTATCCCCCTCCCTGCCTGAGTCCCCCCCCTCCTCCCCCCTCCCCCCGCGCCACTCCCATCCCGGGAAGGTGCTCGTGTGCCCACTGGGGCCTCAGGCTTCTCACGCCTCAGCGAGCCTGTGAATCACCAGGGCGAGACTTGGCCGCAGCCGAGGTTCTGGTCTGGCTGGTCTGGGCGCAGCCTGGAGAGGGAGGTGGGGGTGGGGTCCGCCCCTGTGGCTGGCTCAGGGCCCCTTCCGGGGCTGGGGACCCACAAGTTTGGGCCCCCCCCACCCCGACCTGCAAGGCTGGTGGAAATGCAAAGGCCCAGACCTCAGGGAGGTGACACCACCCCCCACCTCCCCCAGTCCGGGCTGCACTGTGTGAACGAGGCTGCCGAGAGGCCCCCCAACCCACCACCACGTGGGCCTCGTGTCTCCCTGGCCGCCGCTTCCGACTCGGGGCCACAGGAAGTGGAGTCGGATTAGAAACTCAAGCACCAGGGCCTGGAGCAATAGCACAGCGGGGAGGGCATTTGCCTTGCACGCGGCCCACCAGGGTTCGATTCCCAGCATCCCACAGGGTCCCCTGAGCACCGCCAGGGACCAGGGGTGATTCCTGAGTGCACAGCCTGGAGGAACCAGAGAAATGACCCAACAAGCAAAAAAAAAAGGATTAAAAAAAAGAAACTCAAGCACCTTCGGCCGCCCGCCAGCATCTCAGCTGTCCAGCGGCAGACGGGAAGCAGCAGGACGGTCCCTGACGGGTCAGAGCAGGGGCTGCATCTGTTCCCAGCAGAAACGTGGATCTCTGACCAGGACTGGGTCGGAGGAATGGGCTTGGCACCACCCAAAATCAATCAGCACAAGTCCAGAACACCAGCACCCAAGGAAAAACAATAAATCGGCGTCTGCCAGCATGACTAGAAGCGACGGCTACCCTCAGGGACAGGGTGGGCGACCCGCGACAGGAGGAAAAGCCGGAGGGGGCGGGCACGACCCTGGTCCGCAGGCACCTGCCCGGGCCTTGACCTGGTCCCCTGCTCCACCGCCTCCCTACAACAGTGACGCCCCCGGAGGTCTCGAGACTGGGCCAACCGCGCTATGTCCATCTGCGGGGGCGGGGAGAGGGCCGAGCCCCACGGGGGCCGTGCAGGGCACCCGACAGCAGAGGACAGGACCGAGGTCACGGCACTTGTCAAAGCCCGCGTCCTTCTAAGCCGTGACCTGCGACCGAGAGAGAGTTCACGCCAGGAAGTAGAAGCAACAGGCAGACAAAAGCCCAGTGGGCACCGCATGTGAGGGGACTCACTTCCAACAGCGAGACAAGTCAACTCTGTTTTCTGAAAAGATCCTCAAGACTGTCCTTCTGCAGGCGCGGGGACAAGATGAAAGGGAGGGCAATGTGCCTCCCATTCTGGAACTTTCCATTTTTTTTTCTTCCTTCTTTTTGGGACACACCCGGTGATGCTCAGGGCTTCCTCCTGGCTCTGCACTCAGGAGTTACTCCTGGCAGTGCTCGGGGGACACTACGGGATGCTGGGGATCGAACCTGGGTCGGCTGCGTGCAAGGCCGACGCCCTCCCCGCTGTGCTATGGCTCCAGCCCCTCTGGAACTTCCTGCACGGCACACGGGGGGCGTTTCGTTTGCTCTTGGTTCTCTGCTCCCCCAGGGAATCACTGCATCTGTGCTTGAGGCGCTGCTGGGTTTTGGCTGGTTTGTTCTCGGTGGGGCTGAGCCGGGGGCCTCAGACTCGGTGCTGTGCTGCTCTCCTGGCCGTGAACAAGAAGTCCCTGCCCCCTGGAGCGGACATTCTAGGAGAGACCTGCCTGCGATGGATGACTGTGTGCAGCCCCGTCCCTGGGGGTGGGGTGGGGCGGGGCGGGGCGGGGGGTGCCACGTCTTCCAGCCCTGCAGTGTGACTAGGTCCACGCCTGTTGGAAGGACATTCGAGGAATGTTTCTTCCTGGAACAAGACAACGACCTCGCGCCCCCCCTCGATTCTTGGATTCCAGGCACTGACATCTGTGCGCTGTGGTGAATCTGGACGTTCAGTCCCGGGAGTTCCAGAAAATGGTGATTGGAGACTCGGCCCTTGCGAATGTGTGACAGGACACGAGCGAGACGGGTCTGTGAGGAACCCTACGAAGGGCTCACAGAAATGGGGGTCAACATTCACACAAACACCTGGCAATACGCCAGGCAGCCAGAAAGTGGGAGACAGAACAGGAACTAAAAAGCCCCCGACGGCCCCGAACTAGGGAAAGAGCAGTGCCCACCGCGATGACTAGACACATGACGCGTTGACTCTTGGGCAAAGAATAAGGCGCCATGGTGGAGTTTGTTACATATAAAACGAAAGATTGATCTCACACGCAAATCAGAACCTAGAGTCACTGGTGGGGAAAGAGCTGGTTACAGTTTAACGAGAAAGAATGAAGGAACCCAGATGTCCGGAAAGCCGTGAAAAGCGAAAGAATGTTGAAAATACAGTTAGATATCAATCAGCGTCTGATGAACCCTTTGTGCTAATTTGACACCATTTGTGAGTTGCATTTGTGGACGCTGCATGCCGTGCGTGAGCGACTTATTTCCAGTTCCGTGCAACCACAACAAGCAAGACAGAAAGGCTGCCTCATCCCCGCTCCAACGAAGTCGTAAGTTAGACGAGAACGTAGAAAATGAACATGAATACAGACTCAGAATGGAACAACGCCGATTATCTCCTTCAAGACCTGGAAAAGTTTGTTCGTGTTCTTTCGCCAACGCCAGCAGCCCACCCTCAGGGGTCCTGGACCCGTGCCGCCGCCGGACCATGGCAGGGGTGGGGGGTGGGGGGCGGGAGCCAATTCGGTTCAGGACCAGGTAACAGGTCAGGGGCGCAAGGCCAGGAAGCGAGCCAGTTTCAACGGCAACGCGCTATCGCCTTGATGGCGTCTGCTCGCGCACTTTCGTATCTCCTGAACTGGCAAGAGGGTGACCTTGGGTTGGAGCGATAGCACGGCGGGTAGGGCGTTTGCCTTGCATGCGGTCGACCCGGGTTCGATTCCTCCGCCCCTCTTGGAGAGCCCGGCAAGCTACCGAGAGTATCCTGCCCGCACAACAGAGCCTGGCAAGCTCCCTGTGGTGTATTTGATATGCAAAGTCTCACCATGGAGGCATTACTGGCGCCCGCTTGAGCAAATCAATGAACAACGGAGGACAGTGCTCCAGTGCTTCAGACCCTGAGCATTAATGTGGGTGGGGGAGAGTGCCAGAAAGAGTCTGCATGTGTGTGTGTGTGTGTCTGGGTGTCTGTATGTGTCTCTGAGTATGTGGTGTCTGTGTGTCCCTCTGTGTCCCTCTGTGTGTCTGTGTCTGCGTGAGTCTGTGAATGCGTCTGTGTCTCTGTATGTGTATCTCTGTGTATCTGATTGTGTGTGTCTGTGAGTCTGCGAGTGTGTGTCTGTAATCTGTGTGTGTGTTCTGGGCCACACTCAGCAATGCTCAGGGCTGACGGAATCACTCCCAGCAGTGCTCAGGGACCCCGTGGGGTGCCGGGAACGGGGCCCAGGGGGTCCCGTGCAAGGCGAGCGCCCGCCCCGCTGGGCTACGGCTCCCGCGTCCGAGAAGGCCTCGTGCCGAACCGGCGACTTCCCGCCCCCGGCCGCGGGCACGCGGCTCGCCTCGCGCACTCACCAGGAAGGGCGTGCAGACCCAGGTGAAGGTGCCCACGGCCGCCAGGTAGGCCGACTTCCTGAGCACCTTCAGCTCCTCCTGGCGGATGGCCAGCACCTTGTCCTTGAAGGCCAGCTCCCAGGCGTACAGCTTCAGCACCTTGACCCCGCCGAGGATCTCGTTCATAAGCTTGATGCGGCTGTCTTTGCTCTTCATGTGGGCCACCTGCAGAGAGACGGGCCGCGGCGGGCGGGCGGGCGGGCTGCAGGGCCGATCACGCCGACCAGACCCGGCGCCTGCTGGGCAGGGGAAGCCGAGAAGGGCCTGCGCTCCCGCGGACCGAGGCCAGCTCCGGACCCTGGGACACCCGCGGCCTCTGGCACGGGGGAGGGCAGCCGAGAAGGGCGAGACTGAGCCGCTAGGGACGTGTCGGAGACACACGCTCAGGGCTTAGAGGCAGCGGGATGTTTCCCTTGCCCAGAGGGGCGCGTCCTGCTCACAGGAGCCACACAGGAGAGACCCGGGCTGGCAGACAGACACAGGAGGCCGCCGCAGACTGAACTCGGGGCCATGGGCATGCACAGCGTGCACCCCTGATCCCTGGGCTGTCTCCCCCCACCCAAACGCTATTCACTCTTTCTCTTCTTTGGGGTGCTGGGGACCGAACCCTGACCTCCTGCCTACCGGACCTGCGCTAACCACTGAGCCCCTTCTCCAGCCCCTTCCCAATTCTTGGGAGCAGACATGGGCCCCCGAAGCTAAGGAGGCCCAGAGAGTCTCGGATGGGACTGGGGGAGACTCGCTGGGTCTCACCATCTGCGAGCTGCCTTCGTCGTGACTTGAGAAGTGGAAAATGCCCCCCGGGCCTATTGGGGGAACCGGAACCCCCCACTGACCTTTTGTCAGTGTCCCCTGGGGCCCAGCAGGGGGAGCCGCACAGGCCCCAGGGCCTACCTGGTAGGTCTTGGTCTTCATGGCCATCACGGCGTTGAGGGGAACCATGAGGACCATCACCACGACGCCGGCCAGCACAGAGGGGCCCAGGTTCTACGGAGCGAACAGACCAACTCACAGACCAACTCTTGCTCAGGGCCCAGGGTCCGGGCCGGCGGCCAAGGCAGGACATCCTGGAGGCCACCGGGCTGCCCCGTCCGGCGAGCGAGAGGTCCCTGCACACTGAAAGGTGTTAAGACTTTTCAAATTCAGGGGCCGGAGCGACAGAACAGCAGGGAGGGCACCTGCCTGGCACGCGGCTGACCTGGTTCAATCCCCAACACGCCACAGGGTCCCCCGAGCACCGCCAGGAGTGACTCCTGAGTGCAGAGCCCGGGGAAGCCCTGAGCATCGCCGGGTGTCCCCCCCCTTCCCCCCAACTCAAATACTTTTTTCAGATCCAGTCCCGAGTCTCTGTGTCTCTGTCTCTGCCCCACAACCTCTGGAATTGCAGACACACAAGGACCCTTCAGCAGACACCAGCAGTTGGGGGTAGTCTTATCAGTGCTTATCAGTGACAACCCGAGGGCCGGGGGTGGATCAGGAGTCTCAGCGGGGCGGGGAGGGGGGAGGTCTGCATTCAACCCCAAGTACCACAGATCTATATAATAAAAATCACAACATTGTGGGGCTGTGTGGAGAGAGATTCTGCTGTCCACACAGAGGACCTGGCTTCAGTCCCGGGCACTGCATGGTACCCCTGAGTGTGGGTGGGGTAGCCCCCCAAAACCCAAGAGAGAACAGGCAACAGGAGAATTTTAGAAAGGTTACAGGGGTAACCTTGGCATACACAATGGAATACTATGTAGCTGTTAGAAAAGATGAAACGGGCTGGAGTTGATAGCACAGCAGGTAGGGCATTTGCCTTGCACACGACTGACCTGGGTTTGATTCCCAGCATCCCATAGGGTCCCCTGAGCACTGCCAGGAGTAACTCCTGAGTGCAGAGCCAGGAGTAACCCCTGTGCATCTCCAAGTGTGACCCAAAAAGCAAAGAAAAAGAAAAGAAAAGATGAAATAAATGGATCGACACGGAGAGTATCATGCTAAGGGAAGTGAGTCAGAGAGGGACAGACACAGGACTGCACTCATTTGTGGAATACAAAGTAACAGAATGGGAGGCTAACACCCAGGGATAATAGAGAGAAGGGCCAGGAGGACCTCTCCATGGTTTGGGGCTGGCCTCACGTGCTGGGGCAAAGGGCAGCTGGGCTGGAGACGGGACCACGAAGTGAATGGTGCTTGGAGGCTCGCTCGGGATGGGAGATGCGTGCTGAGAGTAGACTACGGGCCAAATGGGATGGCCGCTTACTGCCTGTGGTGGAAACCGTGACACCCAAAAGGAGAGCCTAAGGGGGAATGTGCCTGCCGCAGAGGCAGGGGGGATGGGGTGGGGGGATGGGAGAGACACGGGGATCATTGGGGGTGGAGAATGGGCACTGGACGGGCACTCGTGGTGGAGGGATGGGTCTCGATCACGCAAGTCTGTAAGTCTGGAACTGCATCTCACGGTGATTCATTAAAAACAGTGTACCTGGGGCTGGAGAGATAGCACAGCAGGGAGGGCGTTTGCCTCACACGCGGCCGCGGCCGACCCGGGTTCGACTCCCAGCGTCCCATATGGTCCCCCGAGCACCGCCAGGAGTAACTCCTGAGTGCAGAGCCAGGAGAAACCCCTGTGCATCGCCGGGTGTGGCCCAAAAAGCAAAAAAAAAAAAAAAAAAGACCAACTGTGTACCTAACTAGGTCACTTATTGTGTGTAAGTTACATCTCAATAAAGCTTATTTTAATCATTTAAAAAAAAAGAGTTACTGGGGTTGAGCTTCCGGGAAGCAGCCCTGAGGCCTCTCCAGGGGCTCCCTCTGAGGAATGCAGCCTCTCCTGGTGCACTTTCAGACAAACCCAGGCCTTGGGAGAAGCCCCCGGGACCCCTCTGGGTCCCATCCCTGCAGAACGCTACCGGGCTCCAGGCAGGTCTGGTGACAGGCCCCACCCAGGGCAGAGCCGTGGCCTCTGGGGGCCGAGTAGCCTTCAGCCTACAATCCAACACCTTCAGGAAGCATCTCCCCAACTCGGATCTGCTCACAGCACTGGCCCACGCCAGCTTATTCCAAGCACCCAACTCCCCTTGGAGGTCCCAGAGCCCCCCCGGAGAGGCTGATGGACACATGGTCACTCATCCCAGGAGCCGGGCGTGGGAAAAGGCAGGAAGGACCGGCACGGGGCTTCCCACATGGTCCCATCCTAGATCCTTTGGAGCCGCTGACCCCAACCAGGACACAGGGGGCCCTGCTTAGGGATGTTTCGGGAACCTCCACTGGGCCAGGAAGGAGGGGGTCTGTGTGACCCCAGGAGCTCACGGGCGGAGGAACGAAGGCAAGTCTGAAGGATGTCAGAAACAAGCCGAGCCCTGGCAGCACCTCCTGGCCGGTGGGCGCCCCACAGGACAGCAAGGTTCCGTGCTCACTCCCCTCTTCCGTTTCACAATTAAAATTCACGCAGAAACGACAATCACGTCAACACAGGATCTGTCCTGTTCCTAGGATGCACGAGGCCCTGCCGGGGGCCAGTCCCCACGGGCAACCCAGTCCCGGCTGCCCGGAAGCACCAAGAGCTGATTCCCGGAGAAGCGGATGTGATGCAGCTGGCAGGTAGACAGGGAAGGCCCCTCCCCGGAGACGGCAATAAATCTCCTGGGAAGTGACAGCTCTGAAGTCTGTGAAAGCAGAACTGAGGCCTGATAAGACCCTCACCTGGTGCCTCACCTTGTTTTAAAAACAAAACAAACAGAAAACCCTGTGCACCGAAATAGGTCATTCATTGAGTGTAAGTCGTATCTCAATCGAGCAGGAAGCAGCCCTGCGACCTCTCCAGGGATGTGAAAGATTGGTTACCTATCCATGAAGGAAAATTCCTTGAATACGCTCGAACCTCTCCCTTAATCCAATTCGCTTGAATGATTCAGCCCAGAGACGGCTTCGGAACATTCCAGACCAAGACGTCCCGAGAAGATAAAGGCCACCTTGAACAAAGGAAGGGCGGGCACTCGCTGCCTGCCCGAGCCCTTGTGCTGCTTGCACCCGTGTGGCCGATCACATGTGGCACCCACATCTCCCCTCTTGAGATGAGGACTTTCATGCACTCATGTCTAATGCTGGGGTGTGTGTAGGGGGTCTCCGCCCTTGGAGAAGTCCGCGTTCTCTCTCTCTCTCTCTCTCTCCCCCTCTCCCACACACACACACACACACACCTTCAAAAACCCTCCAAATATAAAATCTATTGACTTCACGGCCTGTCTACTCCTGAAATTCCTTTCTGTCGGGTATCAGCCCCGAGTGTTTTAGGCTTCACCGGTGAACTGGCCCTTGCCCCGGCCCAGGGAAGCTTACCACACCCTTGCAAACATCCCTACTTTGGTTATTTGGTTCAAGTCTATTTTCACCCTTTCCTTTGTGTTGGATATTAACCCTGAGTGCTTGATCGGTGAATCACCCCCTTTTCTTCCTTCCAGAGAAGCTTAACAGGCCGGCAGCCCTCACGTGGCTCAAGCTTACCCTGAACCTTTCCCTTGTATCTTCCCTCTCACTGTCACAGTCCTCCAAGTCGATCTTGGTGATTTATAAGCCAAAACCTTCTGGTAATTCTGAACTTTGTATCTGAAGCGCTGTATACTGACACCTGCTTTTCTACTTCCCAATAGTCTTTTTACATTTTACCATAGAGCAACGTTCTTTGGCTAAACACAGGAAGACTGTAATGCTGTGCTCCTAACATCTGGGATTTGGTGGACCCAGAAATGGACCTACTCCTGGGCATAATTACTTGGCCATGATTACTCAACTCAGGCTTCAGATGCTACAGTTCCTAACACCCCAAAAGAGAGGTCCCACCGTGGGGCTGGGCTGGACCCGGGGCGAGTGGCAAAGCTACCCGGCATCGAAATGGGACATTCCAGAAAGCATGAATGCGTGGTCTTGATGCAAACTGTTAGAACCTAAGAGACAGGACCCCCGCGGGGAAGGACAAGCTGAACTGGCCTGAGGACTTAGTCTGGGGTTTATGGTAAAAAAGCCTCGCTTGCTCTCAGCCCAGAGCACTAAGTGTTGGGATCCTTGTCTCTTCCTATGTTTATCCAAACCACTGCAAGTATCGATGACTTACACAACTCCGAGGAAAAGAGAAAAGCAACGTAGATGTCCCTGGGAGACAGAGTGTCCTCTTGAGCTGATCCCCGCCAGAGAATTTTCTCTGCCAAATGTTTATCTATGTGAGTGGCCAATCACGCCTATGTCCTCACCTCAACTTCAGACGTTCTACTAAGTAGGCCAGCAGCTCTGCATTAGAAGGGGCCGTTTTCGCCATCAGGCTGCGGTCCCCGTCTCCCTGTCCCTCCATCTCTCCGTCGGGGAGCCCTGGGAAGGCAGGGAGGCGGCTCGGCCACCAAGTGCACACACATGTCACAACAGCAGCCCCTACGATTTACTGGTCGAACTCACACTTTCTGCGAGGCGAGACAAGAGCCCAGTAACCCTGGGTCCCGGGTGGCAGAGGCGGGTGGGGAGAAAGTGACCGTCTTTCTCCTCCCGGCTTCACAGAAGCCACCCGTGGGGCCCACCCACATCAGATGGAACCAAGGCAGGCGCTTCTGAGACTCAGGGAAGCAGCTCAGCCATCAGAACAAGAGGGGGAAACACTGCAGAAGTGGCCCCGGGTGGCCGAGAAGCGGAGCAGAAAGGCTCTGAGTGGGAAACGAGGCACGTGCTTGGCGCCCGCCTGCATCTTGGCCTGGCATCGATTCTCCAGAGGACTTGCCAGGTCCAGGTGGAGGGCTGTCCATCACACCTCTATCCCGCCCACAATGGAGCGGGCATGTGCTCAGGCTCTCAGAGCACTCTACCTCTGGCTTCCTCACGACTGGTTCAGAAGTCCAGGGATCCTGGCAGTGCCGAGCCAATCGGTGTGTTCCCTGGGACTCCGCACGGAACAGGGAAGGAAGTGGTTCTCTTTTCTCGGGTACCACTCTCCCTGCAAAGGAGATAAACCCAAACCAACGGAAGCCGCGCAGAGAAATACCACTGAGGATGACGGTCAGTTGTGAGGAAAGCCATGTAGAGGAAAGCCAAGAAGTAGTGAAAGAAAAGGGGGTGAGAAGGTAAAAAAAAGAATGCGAGCGTAAGGCTCAGCACCTAGGTCCAATCACGTCTGAAGCCCATCCCTGGACCTTTCCGTCACACCTACCCACAGATCGTTCTCTACCCGCGAAGGCTATTTCTGTTTGACTGTTTTCTTTTGGGGCCACGCCCAGCAGTGCTCAGGGCTTATTCCTGGCTCTCCTTGTGGTGCTCGGGGGACCATATGGGAAGCCGGAGATTGAACCCGGGTCAGCCATGGGCAAAGCAAGCCCCCTCCCCGCGGTCCTCTCGCCCCTGCCCCTGAGTGGGCCACTTCAAGCTGCGTTTCTAGCACTTGCAAACAGGAAACTCTTGACCAGCCTAACTAAAGACTAGAAAATAAATGTGTCTGGAGAGTGTTTGGGAGGATACCAAACTCAGAAATATGGGGGTACACACACCGTCCAAAAAAAAAATAAGTAAAGGAACTAGGTCACAAATGCCGCGCTAGCAGAGATAGGAAACTCAACTCAAGAATGAAATACGCGGCCACTGGCCCCTGAGCTGAACCACCACGGTGGCCAGAAACAGGAGGACGCTGGGGAGGGTCCCGCACCCAGACCTGCTCTCCCATCCCCCCACCCTCCTCCACTGTCCACACCGGGGCAGTCCCTCCCCACGGCACCCCGGGGAACGGCAGCCAACACACACCAGCCACAGCAGGTAGAGAGCAAGGATGACTTGCAGAGGGGCCGACCAGATCATGTTAATGTACGTGGCCAGGTCCATGAACCTCTGGGCGTCCACCGACATGAGGTTGACGATCTCCCCGACCGTCGAGGACTTCCTGGCCGCGTTGGTGATCACCAGGGCCTGCGGGGCAGAGGAGGGTGGGAGGGGGTGGGGTTGGGTGGGAGCAGGTGGGGTCCAGATGCACTGCCCAGGCCCACCCCCGGGAAGCTCCTCGCTGCCCACTGCGCCACCCAGCGGGCGACCCGATCTCCCTGAGCAGGAAGGGGCCCCTGCCCTGCCCTCCCCTGGGAAGAGGTGCCCCCACCCACCCCCTCCCCGGCTCCCACCTTGCGGTAGACGGCGCCGATGACGGCCGTCTTGATCCTCATGCCGCTGACGAAGCAGATGTGGAAGTACTGGTGCAGCACGAGGGTCTGCAGGCAGGCGCTGAGGAACAGCAGCGCCGTGTAGAAGTAGCCCTGCCAGTCGGGGGCCTCCTGCTCCTTCACGAAGCTGATGAGCCTCCTGGGGGGGGGGTGAGGACAGAGGCTAATGGAGGGGTGGCGGGGGGGGTGGACTCAGGTCCAGATGCGTCTCAGTACTTGCATTTGAAAAACAGGGAGAGAGGAGGGGCATGGTTCTCTGGGAGGAGCCCCGAGCCCGGGCGATGCCCAATGGGCCCCGTGTGCTCTGTCCGCCCCGAGTCACATCCCTGCGCCCACCCCCGCCCTCCACCACATCACCCACCACCCAGTTCTATTTTCAGATGGAAAAAAAATTCGGTGTCTGGGAGCAGGGCGGTGGGCAACGCTCAGGGCTTCCTCCTGGCTCAGTGCTCAGGAATGACTCCTGGCGGTGCTGGGGGGACCCTAGGAGATGCTGCGGATCGAACCCAGGCTGGCCACATGCAAGGGGAATGCTCAGCTGGCCCAACCTGCTGTGCCGTGGCTCTGGGCCCAGATGGAAAAATTTAAAAAGCCAAACCCGGGGCTGGAGCGATAGCACAGCGGGCAGGGCATTTGCCTGGCACGTGGCCGACCCGGGTTCGATCCCCAGCATCCCATAGGGTCCCCTGAGCACCGCCAGGAGTGACTCCTGAGTGCAGAGCCAGGAGTAACCCCTGTGCATCGCCGGGTGTGACCCCCCAAAAAGCAAATAAATAAATAAAATAAAAAGCCGAACCTGCCTTGGGTCGCTCACACCAGGGCTCCGACTCGGAGGGAGGAAGGCGGGAGGGAGACAGGGAGGGAGGGGGCAGGGGACAGGGAGGCCGAGGGCGGTGAGCCCAGGGGTCCCCTTGCTCCTCCTCCCCAGGTCAGACTTCCCATGTGGGAACCCCAAGTTCCACCTCCAGCACCACAAAGTCCCCCGGCACCATCAGGAGCGGCCGCCCAGGGGGGAAAATGCAAGAGGGTGAAGAGGGCCAGAGAGATGGTGCAGTGGGTAGGGCTCCTGCCTTGCGTGCGCCGACCTGGGTGTGACCCCTGGCAGGGAACCCGAGTACCACCGGGTGTGGCCCAAAAATCAAGGGAAAAAGAAACACAAGGGAACAGGGTGAGGATGTGACTCAGGGAAGCGCTCGGCCTTGCCCTGTGCTGACAAGGGCCCAGTTCCTGGTCGGTGCAGTCAGCAGTGACCTCCAGCTGGCCCTATCACCCGGCCGTGGCTCGGGCCAAACCGCCCCGCTAGAGGTTCTGGACCTGCTGGAGCATGCGATGGGGACGTAACGCAGGCGCCAGGGAAGCCCGACTAAGGAAAACCCAGGGCTTCCCACCCAAGGCTGCTTCCCAAGCCACCACGGCTCGGACACCTGCCGACGGGGACTCAGTGTCCCTGCGCTGAGAAACGACCGTCCCCACACACCGTCTTTCATCTTCCCATCATTCCCTTCACCGCTGAGAAGCAGCAGAGAAGGGATAAAAAATATTCCCCATGGGGGCAGGGGGGGTGGGGAAAAGGGTGGAGGGGAGGGGGGAGTGGTGGTGGGACTGGGGTCGGGAGGGTGACCGCCTGCAACAAATCAGCACGACTAATCTTGTAAACCACGACGTCGTACATCAAGCGGTGGGGGTGGGGGGGCATGCACCGTGACTATCTGGGCTGCTCCTGGTGGGCCGTGGGAGATACAGCGGGGGCAGCACGGGGCGGGGGGGTGTTCCGGCGCGGGTGCGGCCTTACTTCAGGATCTCGGGGCCCGCAAACATCATGAGGTCGTGCACGGCCTTGAAGAGGAAGCTCATGAGGAAGTAGGGCCCGAAGGTCTTGTACAACACCTTGAACAGCGAGGGGCCCCGCTCCCGGTGCGGGGACTTGACGATCAGGGCCTCGGCCTCCTCGTTCACAGCCAGCCTGGAGCCGCCCTTGGCCTTGGGGGGCTCCTTGGAGGAGTAGACGACCTTCACAGGCTGCCTGGAAGACGGGAGAGGGGGGCGGTGGGCCCGGGCCGGAGCTGAGCTCTCCAGGGGCGTCGTCCCCGCAGACCGACAGGCAGCTGCTGTGGCGGGGCGGGGAGGGGGGAGGGGGCTTGGTGGCCAGCTCTGGGACCTCAGACACACCACGGACCCTCGCCAGGCCTTTGTCTCCTTAGGGAACACGCGGGTCCCATCTCACACTGCACAGGAATCGAATTCTCCGGGGCAAGGCGCTTTGCAAGGTGCTGCCCAGAACCGCAGGCCCCAGGGGCAAGCCTCGGCCCCGAAGGCTCAGGGCGGGCCGAGGTCTCTGGGGACCACCAAGAGCTGACGTGACAGCATGGGGGTGGGGGCTGGAGGGTCTTCCCCCGCCCTCACCCGGGAGGGGGATACGAAACCCTCGGGGCAGAGAGGCCCCAAGCCCGCCCCTGCTCCTACTTCCACGCCAGGCCAGTGTGCCTGATTTATGGGGTTTTTTGGTTTTGTTTTTTTTCTTTTTGGGTCGCACCCGGCGATGCACAGGGGTTTCTCCTGGCTCTGCACTCAGGAATGACTCCTGGTGGTCTCGGGGGACCAAATGGGATGCTGGGAATCGAACCCGGGTCGGCTGCATGCAAGGCAAACGCCCTCCCCGCTGTGCTATCGCTCCAGCCCTGATTTATAGCTTTGGGCTTTGCATCCTAGCCGGCAGTGCTTGGGGATGGCACCCAGCAGTGTCTGGGGAACCAGGCAGTGCCAGGGACCTAACCCGGGGCACCCACGTGCAAAGCCCCACGCTCCAATCCCTGAGTCCCCAATCCCTTGGCCCCGGCAGGCTCGGCTGGATGCTGTGCGCTGATCAGAGCCGGCACTCCGGTCCTCACGGGGTGGGGAGGGGAACAGGAGGTCAGGACAGTGCAGGGACAAGTGAGACACCAACGGAAGGAAGTGAGCACTCCAGGGCGGGGGGCGCTGGGCTGTCGTATGCCCGAAACCCTGTCATCAACTGTGACCGCGGTATCTAAAAAAATCCAAAGAACCAGGCGTTCAGGACACCAAGGTGGGGGGAGCAAACACGCTCCCAGGAAAATCAGGCCCGGGAGAGTCTAAGTTCTCTGCTTCACACGCAGGATTCGGGGTGATTTCTTCCCCTTTTTGGGGGGAGGGGGCAGTTCTTCTTTTGTTGGCTTTTTAAAGTCATGCTTCAAGTTCCTCCAGAAGTGGACGGACGCAGTACAGAGCGAGTCAGAGGCAAACCGTCCGCCGCAGAGGCGGGGGAGGGCTGGGAGTCGGGGGCCGGTGGGGAAACCAGGAACTCTGGCGGTGGACGAAAACGTGCGCTGGTGGAGGGACGGGGGTTCCAGCACTGTCTGACTGAAACTCAAACACGAAAGCTTCGTAAGTGTAGCGCATGGTGATTCCATTAAGGAAAAGGGAAAAAAGAAGAAAACAGTGGGACGGGGCAAGTTGCTGTTTTGCCAATTCTGGCCTCCCCTGCCCCCCCAAGGTCACAAAGGTGGGAAGTCTGGTACCAGGGACCCTGGGAAGGAGGCTGAGCCCCATAGTCAGGGTGGGGCCGGGACGATGAAGCCCACAAAAGAATGAGTCGGGCCCATCCAATCCGGGCCCTGGCTCGGCCACGCTCAGGACCAGCCAGATCAGGAGCCCGCGGCATCCTGGCCCCTGCGCCTGGCGGATGTGGTGAGCGGCCCCGAGGGACCCGCAAATGGACCGGGCCCAGGGGTTCCTGCAGCCCGAGGGCTTTCCAGCCAGCAGTTCTGTGCCCGAAGGTCCTCCGGTCTCCGGACTCACCCAGCTGTGGGTAGCAGGAAGCATCCCCCTGTCGGCTACCCCCATTCAATGTTGCTCGAACCCAAAGCATCTCTTAAAAACAAAATTTTACTAAGAGAAAAAAGCTGACTCCACAGTTTCTGCCCCGTCCTGGTCACTTGGGCTTCCTCCAGCTTGACACACTGGGGCTGTGCCGTTGCCAGTGACGCCCGCTTCCTCTCCGCACTCTGGCGTGGCCCAATCCCTTCTGAGCAGCTCATGGACCCGCGGCCTGGAAGGGCCTGGCCTCAGCCCCCCCCCCCACCCCCCCTGTGAGGCGACTGTACAGGTCCCTGCTGATTTACTGATTTTAACCAGCACAGACTGGTCTGACGGGGCCATTTATGGGAAACTCCTAATCCTTCCTCCCAATTTGCTGAGAACAAAACCGGCCTTAAAAAAACAGCCTGCAGGGCTGGAGCCATGGGGGGGCGGGGGCATTTGCCTCGCACACAGCCAACCCACATTCAATTCCCAGCATCCCAGGAGTAATTCTTGAGTGCAGAGCCAGGAGGAACCCCTGTGCACCGCGGGATGTGACCCAAGGAGAAAACAAGGAAAAAAATGCCTGTTGCACATATTCACGTACTTGCAAGCACACGTGTACATATGCACACACACATGCAGTCATGCACACACATGCACACTCAGACACATGCACACACACACGTGCACACACGCATGCACTCAGACAAGCACACACACACATGCACACACACATTCATACTCATGCAGACACATTCACACACACACTCACGCGCGCACATATGCACATTCATGCAGACACATGCATCCGGACACACACACACACACACACACACACACACACACACACACAGGTGCCATTACTGCCAAAATCCCCTCGACTGGAGCCTGCCTGGCTCCTGAAGGGGTGGCCTGGCGTGTCGAAGGACACATGGACAGGGAGGCAGGGCCAGGCGCCGGGGCAGGGAGCAGCAGGAGGCAGTGGGAGCCGCTTCCTCCCTGTCCCACCCGATCCACCCGGCGACAGGGACGGCACCGCCTCGTCTTGCGGCTGGGGGGAGCAGGTGACGGGGTGGGGGTCCCAGAGGGTCCGGCCCACAGGACAGGGGGCATCACACTCACTTCCGGGCCTTGGCGCATTCCTTCTTCCAGTTCTGCACCAGCTCGGGCACCACCTGCTCTGACGTGTCATCCTTGTTCAGGGACCAGAGGTCAGTGCTCTCCAGCGGGTGCCGATAGCCCCGAATCATCAACCTGGGCCGGGACACAAGGGGTCACGGGGCGGGTCTCCTGGGCACAGCAGGCCAGGGCAGCCCCCCGAGCCCCAGGGCAGCCCCCCAGTCCACAGGGAAACAAGCTGAACACGGAACGGCGGGGCGTCAGTGATGATTCTGGTGATGGTGAGGTCGCCTGGGAAAAACGGTCTCGTGCTGACAGAAGGCTCCAGTGGACTGGGACCCAGCTAGTTCGGGTGACTCAAAAACAAAGATTTAGGGCCAGAGTAATGGTACAGGGGCAGGGCACTAGCCTTGCCAGCGGCCGACCCAAGGTCAATCCCTGCATCGCATAAGGAGTGATCCCTGAGCACAGAGCCAGGAGTCAGCCCCGAGCACCGCTGAAGGTGGCCCCAAGACACAAGCAAAAACAACCCCCCAAAATTAGGTGGGCTGGGGCCGGAACGACAGTACAGCAGGGAGGGCATTGGCCTTGCACGCGGCGGACCCTGGTTTGATCCCCAGCTTCCCAGAGGGTCCCCCGAGTACCACCGGAGTGATTCCTGAGTGCAGAGCCAGGAGGAACCCCCGAGCATTGCCGGGTGTGGGCCCCTCCCCACCAAAAAAAGGAGGTGCGAGTGAGTCCAGAAAAGGCCGCTCTCCCGCTGGAACGGCTTCCTGGGAGTCCTGTCCCCAGACTGTCCACTCTTCACGCCCCCCGCCACCAGCACGGACCATTCCCTGTCACTGCTCCCTGGATCCCGTCTGCCGTGCGCAGGCGAACACGCTGTCTGGGCCATCTCTGAGCGGGGAGCAGGCGCTCAGCGCTCTCTCCCTTAAACAAAGGTGTGTGCCCACCCCCCGGAAGCAAACCATGGACGCCCCTAATACGGAAATCGGGACAGCGAGCACTGAAGAGTCCCTCACAGTCCCGATTCCCTTTCCCCTGCAGTTCCGGCCCCGCGGGAAGACAGTCACCTAAGAGAGATCCTTCCTCGGGGAAGGACGGACGTTTCCTGGGGAGGAAATGGGCCCGGCAGTTCCCGGGGGAGGGGGGCACCCGAAGCCTGGGGGCGGGGAGGTGACTCAGGCAGTGACGGAGGTCGTCGGACTCCTCCAGTCCACCCTGGGGACTCGTGTCCACTCCCCTAGTGGGGAATGAACAAGCGTCACCGCAAGGGACTCTGCCTAAGGTGA